AAAAAAGTGCTTCATAGACACCAATAAGAAAGTGAAAGACTAATCTACAGAATAGGAGACAGTATTTGATAGGGACTCTCAGATTGTAAAAAGAACATTTATAGCTTGCTAATATAGATAAGTAACCCTTAAATTCAAAAATGGGTACAGGATCTGAATAAATATTCAGAGAGATAATACAACTGCCAATAAACACATGGAAGGAAGGTCAGCAACATTTGTTACTAGAGAAATGAAAGTCAAAACTGCAGTGAGGAACCTCTCTCTGGTAGCCTAGAGGTTAAGTATCAGTGCTGTCACTGTGGTCTGAGTTCGATTCCCAGTTAGGGAGCTGACCCACATATTGTGCAACAGACCTCTTCTGTCTCACCCGCTTCTCCCCTTAGCAGTGTGTTTCAGTAAACCCACCTGTTCTGTTCCCCATTCTGTTTCTAGTGAATCCTCTCACCCCCACTTTCTCCCACATCTCTGGCCTACACCCTTGTTCTGTGCATACATTTTAAAAAATGCAGTGAGACGCCACTAGTATGGTGGTAAAAAACCAGCTGGACTGTAATTGGTATTGGAGAGGATATAGAGAAGTTGGAGCTCTAATATGTTGCTGGTAAAAATCGAAAATGGTACAGCCACTTTGGAAAACAATGGGAATTCTTCAGAAAGTTAAACATAGTTATTATAAGAATTGATATATTTTGAATTTAGAACTGGTAAGATTTGCTGAGTGATCAGACATGAAGTGTGAGGAAAAGAGGAAGCAACAATGATTCTTACTTTTTTGATCTTAACAGCTGGAAATTTCTTTCAGCTAAGTATGTTGTGCCAAATCTGATTATTTTAGACTTGCCTTTGGGATGTCTTGTCAAATATACAAAATAGAGATATTCAGTAGTAGTTGATGGGTGTGGGTCAGGGAAGAGTTACAGGTTGGGCATGTCGGTTTGTGAGTGTTTTGATAGTATTTAAAGCTATGAGATTGTGTGAGATTAATAATACCAGAAGAATAGTAAATTAGGGAAAAGAAAAGATACTTGGGCTAGGCCCTCAATCACACCATTATCTCCAGGATCAGAGAAGAGAAAATTCTGAGTGTCACTGTTCTTAGGAGAAAAATGTGTGTCATTTGGAGGAGAGCGCAATTATGTAAATGCTGTTGTTAGGTTAAGGAGATAGATTTAATTTTGTATTTTGATTGTGCTGGTATAGAAAAAAATTATCCAGCAACTTTGCTAACTTATCTGGGTGATCTAATCAATGTATAGATTACTTTAGATTTTATATGTACTCAATCTATTGTCTGTGAATAAAACTATTTATTTCTTTTTTCCAATCCTTATAACTTTTCAAGTCTTAATGTGCTGGCTATCACCTGCGGTGGTGAAGGAATGTGGAACAGAAATAGTAGTGATAGTAATCACCCTTTACGCATTCTAATTTCTTTCTTTCTTTTTTTTTTTTTTTAAGCTTCTTAATGTGCCTATTGAACCAGCATGACCACTTGATTATGGTGTATAGTTCTTTTTTTAAAAAAATGTATTGCTGAATTCCACTTGTCAGTGTTTGTTAAATAAAATTAATTGAAAAGCGTTCTATTTTTGCAGGAGAGATTGTTCAGAGTAAGTGTTATTTTTTTTAAAAATATTTGGTAGAATTCTCCACTGAAACCATTTAATCCTGAAATTTTTAATTTAAAAATTGTGAATTAAATTTTATTAAAAATGATGATTTATCTATTTCCTGAGGGGAATTATGGTAATTTCTGAGAAATTGGTTCATTTCATGTAAGTTGTCAAACTTAAGTGTGTACCTAATTAGCTTTTTGAAATATATAGAGTTTGTAGTAACATGCCATATGTCATTATAGATATTGGTAATTATTATCTTCTTTTTTTTTTGTCCTTCTTGCTAAATCTGTCTCCTTAATCTAACAACAGCATTTACACAATTGCGCTGTCCTCCAAATGACACACATTTTTCTTCTAAGAACAGTGACACTTAGGATTTCACTCTTGCTAGAGGTTTGTCAGTTTTATTGCTCTTTTTAAAAGATCCATCAGTTTGTTTCATTGATAAAAATTGTCTTTTCAATTTTATTGATTTCTGCTCTTTATTATTCCCTTCCTTCTGCCAGAGTTTTCTTTTACTCACTATTTTCTAGATTCTTGTGTAGGAGCTTCGATCATTGATGTAAGACTTTTTTTTTTTTTAAGATTTATTTATTTATTTATGCATACAGAACTGAGGTATAAGCCTGAGGTGCAGGGGTGGTGAGAGGACCAGAGACCGAGTGGGGAGCAGAACAGGCAGATAGACGAAGTACAGTGGTGCGGGGAGCAGCGGGCGGGTCAGGAGAGGTATGCCACACCATATGGGTCACCTCTGGGGCTGGGATCGAACTTGCACTGAAGTGGCTGCACCATCTTGCAGTGTTGCTGTCCTAACCCATTGCACCACCAGGGAGGTCCCCATATAAGATTTTAAAATCTTATTTAGTGCTATAAATTTCCATTGCTGCTCTAGCAGTGTCCTACACATTTTGATATATTTTCACTCTTTTAAAATTTTTCAATTCTTCTAAATTTTATAGTCTATTATATGAGCTGTGAATGGTATAGCGGCTGGCTGCTTGAAAAGAATGTGTATTGTGCTGTTGTTGTGTGGACTGTTCTATAAATGTTCATTAGTTTCTTAATTGATAATTATGCTGAGTTTTGTGTTCTTGCTGACTATATAGTTATGTCACTTGTTGCGAGAAGAGTATTGATGTTTTTAACTAGAATTGCTGATGTGTCCTTGTGTCTTTTCAATTCTTACTTATTTAGAAGCTTCACTTATTTAGTAACTCCATTGTTTGGTGCATACACATTTAGGGTTGCTCTCTGTTGTTGGTGTTCTTTTTAAATTCTATAATGTCTTTTTCTGTCTCTGGTTATTTGCTTTGAGCTCTACTTTAGCTGGTATTGATAATGTTTTATTTAATTTAAAATTTTGTTTAATTTTATTTAATTTAAATTTAAATAGGCATATTTGTCTGGTGGCTGCCATATTGAGAATTTCTGGAAGATGGAGAGAACTATGACACAATAAGTTTAATTAAAAGGTAAATTTTATAGTATGCTAGAAACTGTTAAGGGCAATGGGTGGTTAGCAGGAAAGGGTAACTGGGAAAGAAGAAGAGGGGCATAGGACTTCAACTTGGGTAATGAAGGAAGAATTTGATTGTGATACTTGAACAAATATTTGAAAGAATAAAAATTTAGCAGTGTTACAAGTATCTTGGGAAAGAGTATATCAAGAGCTAAGCATGAACATGGACGATAGCAAGAACTTTAGCTTTTATTGTCAATGACATGGAGAGCTATTTGAGCATTGAGAGCAGATTCTGATTCATTCTTATGTAATGATTATTCTTGTTGGTGTATTGGAAATAGACTGTAGGGACAAAGGTTGGAAGTGGGGAGACCATTCAGGAGATAGGAATATAAACAAAAGATGGTAATTGGCTACCATCTAACCAAATGGTTAGAGTAAATTTTGGAAAAAATATCAGACATTTACTTTTTGATATGTATGTTTGAAATAATTTTTAGATACATTATCTCATTTACCCAGGTGTTTGAGTCCCTGCCCTTGTGGAGCTTACACTTGCCTAGAATATGAGTAGTAACAATAAGTAAGTGAAATAAATACGATGTTAAAAAATGATAAATTTTATGGAAACAATTCAAGTAAGGGAAGAGTGATAAGTGGGGTTGACTTCCTGACAAGTTAGAGTTTGAATAATGATAGGAAGTTGGTGAAGGAATAAATCCTACAGTTACCTGGGAGAATGGTAACTCAGGGACACAAGGTGTACAGGTTCTTAGGTGGAAGCATAGCTGATGTGTTTGAAGAAGAGGAAAAAGTGAAGTGTAACTGGAGTTGTGTGAGACAAGAGAAAGGATTAGGGATGATAGTACTGAGTAATAAGTGTCTGGATTATAGCCCATTTTTAAAAAAAGATTTATTTATTTATGCACACAGAACTGGTGCATAGGCCAGAGGTGCAGGGGTGGTGTTCGTTAAGAGGATTCACCAAAGACCGTATGCTGCAGTGGCTGGCGGTAGCTTACTAATAAAGCTGTGTCTTTAACCCCAGCACCATCAGGGAGGCCCCCAGTTAGAGTCCATTCTAAGGGCTCTGGCTTTTATTTTGAGTGAGATGGGAAGCTAGTGATAGTTTGGCAGACGAGAGGGATGACCCAACCTATGGTTTCACTGAGTCACTTGCTTGCTGTGCTAAATGGGCTAAAAGGGTGAGAGTAGAAGCTGAGAGGTTAAGACTGTTAGAATAATCCAGACAAGAGGCTGTAACAGAGGTGGAGCTGGTAGGGAATGATTATTATGTTCTGGACACATTTTGAAGGTTGTGTTGTCAAAATTTGCTTTCTGATTGATGTAGGATTGAAAGGAACCAAGAGTTAACTCTGATATTTTTGACTTGAGCAGCTGGCATTAATTGAGATGGAGAAGACTGGGGAAGAGCAGGTTTGAAGAAAGTGATCAGGAGCTCTGTTTGGACATGTTAAGTTTATGATGCCTGCCTACTAGACAACCAAATGTAGGTGTTCAGTAGGCAGTCTGATTATAAATATGTTTTTTTTTCTTTTAAATAAACAGTGTACTCACTGTTCTGAAAAATATAGTGCATTTGTTAATATCTTAATTTTTAACATGTTCAATCCTGGCAAAACTTGCATACTTTAGAGAAAGGAATTCTTTGACTACTTTTTGGTTTTGCTGACAGAGTTGATGGTACTTTCTTAGAGTTAAATAAAGATTTCATTCCGGTTTTAGAAATAGAAATGTAACTATGTAGTCTCAGTGTTTCTACTTGCTTTCTATTTTAGGTCCTATTACTGCTGGATTGTGCAAGATAATTAACCCTGTTTTCTTTGAGGTATGACTTAAATATCAAACATCCTAAATAAAAACAGGGAAACATTTTAGTTTTGAAAGTCAGAATGCCAAGGAAAAGGAAAAATCTTGGGGGAAATCCTTTTCGGAAGACTTCAAACTCTAAGCAAGTTGTATCCAGTGTTGCTAGTCGCGAGGAGGCAACCACCACTCTCCCTTCCGTGTCTGAGACAGAAATTAAGCAGGAAGAACTCTTCACCAGTATGTCAGAGATGTTTTCTGATCTGGATCCTGATGTAGTGTATTTGATGCTTTCTGAATGTGATTTCAAAGGTGAGAAAAAGTTTAGTTTGAACTCTTTACATTTTATAAGAAGACGTAATATACTAAGCCACGTCCAGTAGTGATACAGAAAAATGACTCATTTCTGCTTTCATTATTTATTGGGTATCTGCTGTGGTCAAGGGACTGAGTTTGGTGTTAAGAGAGATATGGAGAGGAAATATAGTTTCTTCCTTTAAGAAGTTTATAGTTCGAGATGTAAGGTGTATGTATAGATGTCATGTTTTGTTTTGTTTCTTTTTCTTCCCTCTAGAAACAGGTTGGCACTGTTAACATTGGGACCGGATGATTCTTTGTTGTGAGTGGCTCAGCGCCATGGTAGGATTTTTAGCAGCATCTCTACCTGTTCTCATTAGATGGTAATGGCACTCCTCTGTCCCTGTTGTGACAATTAAAAGTGCTTCCATCTATTGTCACGTGTCCCCTGGGAGACAAAATCTTCCCGAGTTGAAAACCACTGTCTTAAGAATGTAAGCTCCATAAAGACAGAGATTTTGAAAACTTGGTTTATTTTACACAGTATTCCCAGCTCTTAATATAGCAAATGACTCATAGTAGGGTCTCAGTAAATACTTATTGAGTGAAAAGGTAATTATAAATTGTGGGAATGGGAACTTATTAAGAGTTGAGGTTAGTAGAATAGTGTCATTTCAGAATATTGCCTTGAGGTCAAGAAACTGGTCGGACTTCTAATTCTGCTACCTGACCTCACTAGGGCTCTTTTTCTTAATTAAGTAGGTATTTAATAGTACATTTTAAGTAGGGATTGAGGGTTTTTTTTTTTTTTTTTGGTGAAATCTTCATTAAGTTACTTATAATACTACATAGTTTATAAGAATGATCACAGATAGTGGGGGAACTCTCAAAGTTGGTTCTTAGTATTACTCTTATTGTGGATTTGGGAAGTTTTATTAGTGGTTGATAAACTTCCATTTTTACTCATTTCATGGTCTGTGATATGAGCATTTCTTAACCTGTTAGGATATGCAGTCCACATGGTACTTAGAAATAAAAGTGTGATTTCAATATTTATTTACTAATTTTGATGTTTTGAAAGTTGGTTGCATATACAGTAACATAGCAATGGGAAATTACAAGAGGAATATATTATCCTCACATCTTTACAAACAACATATTGTTCTTTTATAGGTTCTTTGTTATACCTTACTCATAAATACTAATATTGTGGGTAGTTTGAGTAATGGCATTGATGAAATGTATTCTGCAGTTGAAACTTGAACATTCTTTCAATGTTGCCGTAATCCTATTTTTAATAATAATTTGATATTCCGCTGAGTGAATTGTAATATAGGTCTATCTCAGTTTTTCACAAGTAATTGGCATTACTGAGAATGTCTTGGTACAAACAGCCTTTTCCTTCTTTTGAGGTTTTTTTCTTAGTCTCAAGTTTAATTTTGGTGTCACAGAATAAGAGCAGTTTGTGACGCTTTAGAAACATGTTGCTAAAATATCTCCTGAAGCAGTATGCTGATTTATACACTGTATAAGTGTGGTATTTTCATCTTCGCTGCAGTTTTCTCACCATTACGTAGTAGTATTTTAATGGGGATACAGTTGCACCTTAATTTATGTTGTTCTTTGAAATAAAGAGGAACGTTCAGCTTTTTTGGTATATGATTGTTCATTAATTCTTATATTCTTGTTTGAATTGTTTATATATTTTTTGTTTTATACTATTTGTTTTTTTTTGAACACTGTAAGGACTTGTGGAGTATAGTTACATCTAAATCTTTTACTTTCACTCACTACTGGTTTTATTCTACACACTTAAAGTTTTCTGGTTGATGCTTTCTTTTACAGGTTTTCTGTTATGTAGATTTTTTTTCATAGAAATATTTCATATTTGCCTTCTTTTCTTTTTCCTTCTTCTAGCCTTTCTATTATTGCTGTAATCTCCTAACTGGTCTCTTTACCAGGTTTACTCCCTCCAATCCCTCTTTGTTTTTCTTCTTAAGGGAACATTAATTGGGTGCTTACTAGGTGCCAGTCCTGTGCACAGCACTTTTTCATGGATAATCTCATTTAATCCTCACAACAACCCTATGAGGTAGGTACTTTCATTACCCCCATACTGTAAATGAGAAAATCAAGATGTAGAAAAGTTAAGTAACTTGCTTAGAGCGTCAGAACCAACAGTAGGGATTTTACTGCCAGTGTTCTGACTGCAGGCCACAGTTGTTAACTACGGTACTGTACTGTTTCATATTTACTTTCCTTAAAAGAACACACAAATTAAACAAAAAAGCTCCGAATTCCAAATGCTTAACAGTTCTTGTAGCCAAGTATTTAAAACAGAAGGAGTTCAGCACTGGAGTCAGACATACTAGACCTGGCACTATCACTTGTTTGTGTGACTTGAGCCAAATTAATGTACTCTTTGAACTTCTTTTTCTTCATCAATTTTTGGGCATGTTATACCTCATAGTATTATTTGAGGATTCAGTGAGGTGATGTTTATAAAGCTTCTAACCAAATGCTATGACAGGAGATTTCATGTCAAGTTCCCTTAGAAAACAAAATTATATTTCTTACATGACAGACAGAACCCTTACTAATGTCACTTCCCGTTCTTGTTTTAACTCGTTTAATCCATTGTACTATTCTGTATCTGCACTCTAACGAGCTTAACACTTTAAAGATGCTTTATGTGTTCAAGACTGGCTTGCATTTCCTTTTGTATCTGATACTTTTCTTTTTAATCTTCAAATCCCAGCTCACAGGGGATCTTGGCCCTGAAATGCCTGATCTCCCCAATTTGTATCTCATTTCACTGTTTCCTTAACCCCTAACAAATAAAGTTGGTGTAGTAAATGAAAAAAAGTTGAAAGCTTTCTTTTCTTTTCTGTAAGACTGCTTATAAATATTTGTATATTATTAAATGTGTTGATTACTTAATCTCTTATATTATAATGTAGTTACTTTTAATTATTTCCATTAGACTGCAAAAATCCTTTAAGTGTAGTAAAACTGTCTTTGAACAAAGTATGTCTACTATGGCATATATGCTCACACATAATCTTTATATTATGTGAAATTCATAGCATGGACCATACAGAAAAATAAGGTTTATTAAAAGAAAATTAAGTTTAATACTTAAAAGGGTGTGCATAGGTAAGTATTTCTTTATAAAACAACTTGTTTTAAGCTCTTTATAAATTAATTGAAATAATTACAGATATTTTACATTTACTCAAAAATTTGTCAGGTAATATCTACTTGATGGTGGTTTTAACCTAATTTATCATTCTTGTCTGAGAGTACCAACAGTTATTTTTCATCATTCATCACTCAGCTCTTTAATTGTAAAATGTTACTGAAAACAACTGCAATTTTTTCTGTGCTCCATTCAGTACAGAATCCTGTAAAATTTTAATTAAATTACATTTTACTCTCTTTAATACATACATTTATTAATACATATATGTATATATATTTGTTGTTGTTATTGTTGTTCTGTTGTTGCATAGTTGAAAATGCCATGGATTGTCTGTTAGAACTATCTGCTGCTGATCCCAAGATAGAAGATTCTCCTTTGAACAGCTGCGTTGCTTCTGGGAACCAAGCAAGTGCAGTCAGAAGTGAAATAATGGAAAAGTGTCCTCCAGAAGAGATTGATTCAAAAATGGATTCATTTCTGGACATGCAGTTAACTGAAGATTTGGATTCCTTAATACAGAATGCTTTTGAGAAGTTGAACACTTCTGATGACCAGGCATACTCATTTTTGCCTTTGCAAGATGTTAATAGTTTTAGTAGTACGAATGCATTTATCAATTTGGATTCAAATAGTATGACTTCCACTCTTTGTACGCAAAATACGGATTTAAACAATGAAAATTTAGAGAATTCTGCATCTGTATTGAATTCAGCTCCCTTAACTACACATTCAGCTTCTAATGAGTCTGAAAGTTTTGCAAAGGAAAACATACTGGCATTGGAAGATTCTCTTCTTAGTAATTCTCTAGATGTAGTAAGTGAGACCACAGTGGACTGCAGTAATTTTATTCATTCACAGCACGACCTATTAGAATCTGAGGGTTTTGAGACTCAGTTTTCTCAAGATCCTGTAGATTTGGATGCCAACAAACCTCAGGCTCCCTTAAATCTTACTTTGCAAAATCCAGGGCTTGGTTTACCAGGTATAGGTGGGGATCAGAAATCTACTTCTGTTCCTGATGTGTTTGTACAGTCTGAAGAATTCAGCTTCAAGCCACACAAACACACCGACTTGGTACCGACGGGGAAGGATGTGAAGTACTGCCCAGTACTTACCCCTCTCCCTCTTCTGCTGCCTCCTCCTCCGCCACCTCCGCCAATGTGGAATCCGATGATTCCTACCTTTGACCTCTTCCAAGGAAACCATGGCTTTGTAGCTCCTGTGGTAACCTCAGCCGCACACTGGAGACCTGTCAACTACACATTTCCATCACCAGTTATTTCCCCAACAAAGATTTGGAGGAATAAAGAGGGAACAAGTGCTTATCAAATACAAGAACCTCCAGTTTCTCAGGTTGTAAGAAAGAAGTCATCTTATGTTGGACTAGTTCTTGTTCTTCTCAGAGGGCTTCCAGGATCAGGAAAATCTTTTTTGGCAAGGTATGAAGTTTGATTGAATTTGAAAAAAGTAATGCATAAATCTTATCTCAGAAATTTATAACAGGGTACATGACTATGTGAAATTACTTTCTAGAGATGCTTAGTGACCCCTAAACTTTTCTAATTACTCTTCCCCACCCCCCAACTTTGTAGCTTATAATACCACTTTCTTCCAGAGGTTTTTATTGAATTCTTTCAAGATGTCATTTTGAGAGTCAGAATAGATGAAGAAATTATACATGATTCTGAGGTTGTGACTTTGTAAAATCAACCGAAATAACCCTATGTCAAGAAAAAAATAGCTTGAGTGGAAAGATGAGTTCAATTCTGATTATAAAGAGCCATAATTGCTATTGAATTCAAGGAAGTCTTAACTACAAAATTTTCTACTGGTAGTTGGGAATTTGGATTGTAGCATGTTGTTAAATAGTGCTTTCAGAAATATGTGATTTGAAAGAAGATAGCATAGGATGTATCACTGGCTGTCAGAGAACTTTACATTTTCAAAGATTTTTGTTTTGTTGTTGTTAAACATGATACCTTTAATTATTTTAACTTTCATATACATCTATGTCATTTTAGCGGTTCAAGTTGGCTATGGGTCCCAGGGTATAGGAGACTTGAGTCAAGGGTTAGAGACAGCTTTATTGTGTTTACATTGGTGTTTGTTAAAGAAGTACTGTTCTTAAAAGTCTTTCTCACCTTCCCTTACCCTTTAAAGTCCAGAAGATTTATATCTAATATATTTACTTATCTTTGCATATAAGAACTGGGGTGGAGGCCAGAAGTATGGGAGGGGTGGGGGTGAGAATATTTCCTGGAGACAGAGTGGGGAGCAGAATAAGCGTATTTACTGAAATACATTGCTGACGGGAAGAGTAAGTAGACAGGAGAGGTCGCTGTGCCATGCAGGTCAGCTCCCTGGTTGGGGATTGAACTCATGCCACAGTGGCTGGTGATAGCATCACAAAGCTGAGACTTTAGCCCCTGTGCCACTAGTTTTTGATGGCCCTCCACTTGTTTTTGATAAGCTTTTTTGCTCCAGATTTATCTTCCAGTAAATATTCACATTGTGCTCACACACTTATAAGCATATTCTTTTGTAGACATAGCATAGGTTTTCTTACTATTATTGATTTAGCAATAGAACAATAATAAATTATTTGAATTTAACGTTAGGTTACTATAGTTAGTCGTGATACTACGTGAAAGAGATTGGAATGAAAGTAATCCGTAAAAGGTAATAGAGCTGTAACACAGGTTTGAAACACTAGGTTTCAAAGCCTTTGGAACTGGGAAGAACTAAAGTTAGAAGAGAAGAAAGAAGTGTTTGTCACAGAACAGACACTTAATGCTTTTTGAATGAGTAGAAATAACTGGTATATGCAGAGGTCTGGAAACTTGGTTTTCTGAGCCTGGTCGATAGTATTAAGCTTGTATGCATGTTCCAGGAAAAATGAGAGGTAAAAAGGCTCCTGGGTTTATTAGAGAAAAGATCATGAATGCATATCTTAATTAAACCTGACTTTCTCGTGTTGTGAAGGAAGAAGACATAGGGGTAAGGAATGTTGGCAATGTTGAAGTTAAGGGAAGGAGAAAAGGTGGGTAGTAGCTGAAGGGGACCCTTGAATGGTTACTGTTTTTTAGTCAAGATAGGTGTATGTTAAAGTGTAAAGAGGAAGTGTCAGAGTTGGGAAGACTTAACAGAAAGGAGAGGATTGAAGTAGGAGCTTTACAAAGAAAGCCCGGAGAATGATAAATACTGGACTGTGTCACTTCTTTGTGGAATATAGAGAAACCAAACAAAGGGTCAGACAAAGACAAACTACAAAACCAACACCTGAAGCTGACCAGCAATGTGAGACACCCAGCAGCGGGGTGCGGTTGGGGAGCACAGTGCATGCTCATGCAGGACTTGGGGGGCTTCTGTGGTGGGAGTGCAGTGTTGTACACCGGAGGGAGGAAGCCCGAGGGTCTTAAGTCATTAGCAAGGATACAAAATAATGGTACTTCAAAGAAAAAGGCAGAGCTTTAAAAATAGTGACTAAAAGTAGGAATCTTAGAAAGATGAGGTGAGGTGTAAACTCCGCAAGTGTAAGACTTTCTGTGTTTTTGTTCATTGATGTCTCCTCAAAGCTTTTAACAGTTCCTGGCACCTAGTAGATACTAATGAAAATTAAATTCACAAGGATTATATCTCTAGATATAATGTACACATTTTAGCAAGAGAGGATAGCGGTATTTTACAAGTGATCAAGAATGATAGCATTTGTAATGTCTCCATGTATTCTGTCTGCCTAATTTTTGCATGTGTCTCAATTATATGAAAGATAAAAGTCCAAAATCAGGAAAGGGAGATATGTATATATTAAAAAAACCAAGCCCACAAAGTTATTTTAATTTTGTATAATTTAACAGATTAAATTACTAGATTGTAAACATTTTTATTTGTTTTTAATTTACTGGATTTATAGCAATAGACTGTTTTATCATCAACTTTTGAGTATGTTGAATATCAAGATGCTTACCTACCTTGAAGTGATCTTGTACTTACTGTGGGTGAAATAAATTAGTGTCTATTAATTGACTAAATGAGGGGGATATCAAGATCAACATGAGTTCTGAAGCATTTTCAGTTACTACTTTTCCTCCATAATTAACCATTTTTCAATCTTGAAATTTTTATAGTTAAGGGTAGGATACTTAGTTTCTAAAATGAAAATTTACATAAAGTAAAACAGACTTGCTTTACATAAGTTTTCTTGGGAGTCAAACTTTAAAGGTGTTTCTAATAGGACTAGCTTAAATATTGCAGTATTCTCATGCTCATACTTGAATATTTTATCTGGGTTATGACCTTTTAAAAATTGGGAGAGAGAATTTACAAAAAAGTAATAAAAATTATTTCATTTATCATTCATAGGACTTTGCAAGAGGATAATCCAAGTGGCATCATTCTTAGTACTGATGATTATTTTTACATAAATGGACAATATCAGTTTGATGTAAAGTACTTAGGAGAAGCGCATGAGTGGAATCAGAATCGTGGTAAGGATAGATATAAGATTCTGGGTAATAAAATTGAATTTGCATTGTTAACCATTAGTCTCCTTAGGTTGGTTTCATTTTTTTATAGATGACAGTATGAGAGTAGTTGACTTTTTCTCAAAGTGAATCTGTAGGGAGATCATAGGTAAAAACTTACTTTCTTTATTAGTATAGCTATTTATTCACCGAAGATGTTTTTATCATGAAATGTTTAGTTATCTGAATAGTTTGAATTTTATATGGGAAATTCTTAAGATATGTAGACAGTGTTTTACTTAACCTCTATGATAAATGCATTTAGAAGGTGATTCTTCAGACACTTCTATTTTTCTCTCTATATATTTTGTATTAATTACTAGTGAGAACTCAAGAATATAAAAATACCAATACAACTAAAATCAAAGGAAGTGTAAAATGTGAAGAGCAATCTTGGATTTGCCAGTTTCTAGTTTTATTACCTTGTGCCAGTTTTTTATACTCTCAGGTGTCTTTATAATAATGTTAACCCCCAGGAATATTATAAAGGTTGCATGAGAATAGAAACTGCTTAGCAATATCTTAACATACCCTTAGCATGGTGACAACCAAAGTAATAATATTAAATGAATAGGCAAAACTTTTAAAAATAGATCCTGAGATATAACTCACATGCTTGTTAGTGTATTCAGAGTCATACAACCATTTCCACAACCAATTTTGGAAGTTTGTTTTATCACCCCCCCAGAAAGTTCATACACCCATTAGAATTGACTCCTCATTTCTTCCCACGCTCTCGCACCTGTAGGCTACCATTTTAGTATTGTTCAACATTTCCTTACATTTTTAATTTTTCATACGCTAAATGTGTTATTTAGGACTAGACTCATTACAACAACATGGAAACAAATATCCATTAATGGATGAGTAGCTAAATGAAGTGTAATAGGCACACACACAGTGAAATATTCAGCTTTAAAAAGAATGAAATCTTGCCATTTGTAACTACATTGAGGGTATTGTGCTAAGAGAAAATCAAACAGAAAGACAAATAACTATATAATCTGACTTATATGTAGTATCTTAAAAACAAAAAACAAAAAACACAGCCAAACTCATAGATAGTTTTCTACGAGGTTTTAGTGGGTCCCAGAGGTCGGGGTCGGAGGAGATGGAGGAAGGGATCAAGAGATACAACCTTTCAGTGATGTGATAAATCATGGTGACATATTGTACAGCTTGTTGACTACAGTTAATAATACTGTATTGTATAGTTGAAAGTTGCTAAAAAGGCAGTTATTAAAAGTTTTAGCACAAGAAAAGACATTCTGTAATTATGCATGATAATAGATGTTAACTGAACTTATTGTGGTGATTATTTTGTCATATATAGAAGTATTGAATCATGTTATACACCTGAAAGTAATGCTCTAGATTAATTATATCTAAATTTAAAAAAATTCAAAAAGTAGAATAGTAAAATCAGTGTATAGCTGTGATTTTAAAATTATGAAAACAAGATCAGGTAATTTTATATCAAGGTAATACTTAGAATTGTTGCTTAAAATACTTTTGCCATGTCCTGTTTGTGTTTTCCAGCCAAAGAGGCATTTGAGAAGAAAATATCTCCTATAATAATAGATAATACAAACCTACAAGCATGGGAAATGAAGCCATATGTTGCATTGGTTTGTACCATAAGTTGTCATAGTTTGTAATAGTGGGTTTGAAGTTATTGGGAGGTGTTAATTCCAGAAGTGAACCTCAAGCACTGTCCTTGGATTATTTGTAACTGAACTGTCTCTGGACTTGCAAAATGAATTTTTCTATAACATTAAATTTATTTAATTTTCAAATTTTGGGATTCAGTACTTAAATTCTGATATTTTATTTTTGATGTCTTCTGATTTTTGATACCTTTGGATGAAAAGCTAACAATGGCATTTTGTGTTTACTTGTGTGTCTATGTGCATGTATATGTAATTGTTTTTACTTAATGCTCTTGGCAGAATAAAAACTTAGTGGTCCCTTGTTATCCCTAAATTTCTTTTAAAATTTTGCTGTTTTAAAAATCTAGAATTCAGTAAACTCAGCTATTTTCATTTCTCCAAATTTGCTAACTTCTTTTTTCCAGATTTGAAATCACTTGTTTTCAGGAAATTAGCACTCAAGTTACTAAAAAGCTGAATTGGGTCTTTTCTGCTTTTATGGCATTCTGGCTTACTACTACTATATAGCATTATGTACACTGCTTTTAGTCAGCAGCTGTGGGAGCCCCCCTGGTGGCACTAGGGGTTAAGTCTCAGCACTATGAAGCTACCAGCAGCCACTGCAGCTCAAGTTGGATCCCCGGCCAGGGAGCTGACCCACATGGCACAGCAGACCTCTCCTGTCTCACTCACTGTTCTTCTCAGCATTGTACTTCAGTCACTGTCTCTGATGGATCCTCTCACCCCCCTGTACCTCTGGCCTGTACCCCAGCTCTTAATATGCCTTAATAAATAAATTAAAAAACAATCAGTAGGTCATGGATTTGCCAACTTTTTTTTTAATAAGACTTCAGAATGTATTTTAGGCTTCACAGACCACATGTAGTCTCTGTTACACACACACACATATGTATTTTTTCCTTCTTTTTCAAACAACTCTTGAAAAATAAACATCATCCGTAGTCCGTGCTACACAGATGCTGCTGGTGGGGCCGAATTTGACTCTAAGCTATCAATAGGTTCACGTGAATAGAGCTATATGATCCGACTAATAATAGAAGTGAGGTTTTGAGAATTGACAATGGTGGGAGTGTGGAAAGACCAGGAAGACTAGTTAGAGGGCTACAGCAGTAATTAAAGTAAGACTGTGACTCAGACTAACATTATAGTAGTGAAGTTGATGGTAACTATGATACGATTCTGCACGTGTAGTGAGAATACAGCTAACTGGATTTCTTGTTGAGTTGATGCAGATGTGAAAGAAAGGAATCAAGTATGATGCAGGGCTGGCTTTGGCTTAGGTAATTGAAGGTTATTATGAGTTGAAATAGAGAAGGATTCAGATAGAATAATTTTAGAGCAAGTGGGGCATGGATTTCAGAATTTAGGTTTGAATATGTTTGTTGAGTAAATAGTTGGAACTTTGTGTTTGGAGTTCAGGAGTGAATTCTGGCCTAAGATATATTTGAATCTACCATATGTGTAATATTTTAAGTCAAGAAATGGAGTTTTTTTTGTTTTTTTTTTTTTTTTTCCTTTCTTTTCAGCCACAGAAGTGAGTATAGCTCAAGATTGCACAACCAAGGACTAACTCAGGGCATTCACTTGTGAGAAGAGGTTTGGGTTTAAAGGAAGGACTAGCAAAAAAAGACTGAGCATATCCACCTGGTAGAGAGGAGGAAAAGCATGAATATATAAGAGAGTGATGAACTGTGACAGATGTTGCTAAGGGTCAAGTAAGAGAGGACTTGAGATTTTCTTTTAAGATTTATTTTTTTATGCATATGGAACTGGGGTATAGGTTAGAGGTGGAGGATCCACCAGAGACAGAGTGGGGAGCAGAAAAGGCAGATCGACAGAGTACATTGCTGAGGGGAGCTCAGGACAGGCGAGGCAGGAGAGGTCTGCTGTGCCATGTGGGTCACCTCTGGTCCGGATAGCTAACTAGCTGAAGCAGCTGCGGTTAGCTTGCAGTGCTGCGCTTTAACCCGTTGCACCACTAGGAATGGCCTGTACTTGAGATTTAACCTCAGCATTTTTCAATGTAAAAGAATTTGTGGTTTCTGTTTATGGTATTCTAGTGGACTAGCTTATGAGAGTAGGTTTGAAAAAGGTAAGAAGAGAAATTGGAGGTAGACTATATTAATTATTTTGAGACCTTTTCTTGCAAATGGGTGCAGGGAAATGGTAAAATAGTTGATAGGGTAAGTAGGGTTAAGAATAAAATAGAAATAGCTGAATATGATGGAAATCAGTTTAGAAGAGAGGGAAAACTAATGATATTTCAGAGACTTGGGAGATTTGCCGAACTCAACTATTCTAGAGATGGAGAGAGGAGGTAGATATAATGTACAAGTATAGGACTGGCTTTTAGATTATAGCCTTATTAGAGTTTAGAAAAATAGAAAAGCAGTTATTTAAAATCTTAAAATTTATAAAACTATAAAAATGCTTACTTTTATTTAAAAAAAATTATTTATACATACAGGAACTGGGATGGAGGCCAGAGGCCAGAGGTGTGGGAGGTGAGCAGATTCATCAGAGACAAAGTGGGACTCAGAACAGGTGGTTCCATTGAAATTCACTGCTTATGGGAACACGGTGGGGAGACAGAAGAGGTCATTTGAGTCATGTGGGCCAGCTCCCTGATGGGGGAATAGAACTCTAGAACTCATGCTGCAGTGGCTGGTGATAGCTTCATAGTGTTGAGACTTTAACCCCTGTGCTGCCAGAGTGGCCCTATAAAAAATTTTAAATTAGAAGATAATTTTGAAACTATGCATATGATGAATATTAAGATCATAAAAAATGTCTAAAGTCATACTCTCTAGAGACAGATAAGTGCTTTTAATAGTATTATTGAGAATATAGCAGCTTCTATATATGTACAAATATATGACCAATCTTTTTTTGCCCATGTGAAAATTCTGTATGTTACTTTCTTAACAATTTATGTTAAGGACTTTCTTTCATTAACACACACAGAATTTAAAAATGATTGGTATTTTCATTACATGGTTGCACCTTCATTTATTTAGCCAGTTTCATATTAATAACTAATTATGTTGTTTGTATTCTTTTGTTATTACATATACTGGCAAACTGGATATCCTGGCTGTATATGTATATCTATATGTGTGTGTGTGTGTATACCTTTTTACTCGTACACAAATGTCAGCATACATTTATGGAAGTTAATTGCTGAGTCAAAGAGATTGTGCATTTATCAGTTAAATGCATTCACGATTATCAGAAAATCTTTCATTTTTAATATGCCATGAGTTTGGAAACAATGACTTTAATTTCATAGAAGTAATTATCTTTAAATGCTTTTGTCTTTTTCTGTATGTAGTCTCAAAAACATAAATATAAAGTCCTTTTTCGGGAACCAGACACATGGTGGAGGTTCAAACCAAAGGAACTTGCAAGGTAAAAGTTGAAGGCTGTGGAGCACGTTTTTTATTTCATGAGTCATAGAAAGAACATCTAGATGTTTCACTTTATAAATAATGAATGAAACAAAATGGATTATATGCACCTTTGCCACCTAAAAATTGGTGGCAATTCTGTATTGCCTGTAGGGTTCCCCCATTTTATAAAGCTGTTATATCTTTTTATCCCTAAAGTTGAGTTAATTAAGAGAAAAATTCCAGTTGTCTATTTTAGTGCTTTTTATTGCTTGTTTAAAATAATAATGTCAGTATCTGAAACTAGAACAGGCCCTGCAATTGGCGTAGCTTGACCATGTGCTTTTGAGAGGAATAAATTATTGTACCTGCCAAGTCACTTTAGAATGCTGGAAGGATGAGGAGGTATAGCTAGCTATAAGAGGTTGCAAATAGCCGGTTGTTCAGGTATTTCACCTCCTCCTTCCAGCCCCCCACACATCCCCATAGTACATTTTAAAAATTTGATTGTTTGAATAAAAAATGCTTCAGGGCATAGACAATAGACATACAGTGTTTTTGCTTTGTGCTAATTATTCCCTTGGAGTTTGCCCTAACTTAATTTTGCTCAGGCTATTTTCTTCTTCATTATTTTAACTAATTTCAGTATTAGTTAAAGGACAATCTAATTTTAGTGTATTGTTGTGCAACCATTATCACTATCTAGTTAGAGAACCTTTCATCACCTCAGAAAAAATTCCATACCTGATGTCAGCCACTTCTACTTCCCCCTGCCTTGGCAGCCAGTGACACGCTTTCCTCTCTTATGGATTTGCTTATGCTGCATGTCACATATAGATGGGGTAGTGCAACGTGGCCTTTGTGTATGACATCGTTCACTTAGCATAATGCTTAAAGCACATATGTGTACATCATTCCATTTTGTTATCTTTTTGATATATTACTAGACTTGATTTTCTAATATTTTGTTAATGGTTTTAGCATCTGTATAAATGATTGAGATGGAAATTTTCCTCCCTTGTTCTGTGTGACTTTGGTATCATTGTTTTAGGTTCATAAAATTAGTTAAGAAGTATTTTTTCTCTCTTCTGAGTTTACATAACAATGTTTGACAGATTTACTTATGAAACTGTCTTATTAAGACTTTATTGAAATGATCATAATATTTTCTTACTATTTATATTTTTGCTGCATCTGTATAAGTTTCCCATCTCAATCCCAGCTAATTTATGTGTATCTTCCTTTTTTCTTTGATTATTCTAAAGAGATCAGACTTTTTTATTAGCGTTTTCAAATAAACAGTTCCTTACTTGTTTGATATTTCTAGTAAAAGTTTGTTTTATGTTTAATTCAATTTTCCTTCTCTTTTATTCTACTCTGTGCTTTTTAAAAAGTTTGTTTTTCTTATTTATTCTATTACTTGAAAAATCATTACCTGAAAGTTTCAGGTCATTTTTTTAATATGAGCATTTGATACTGTAAATTTCTTTGTGGAGTACATAAACTGTTCCCATGCCTTAAGTATGCAAAACTGTCCTTTTGTTAGCTTTTATCTTTTTTAATAAAATAAAATTATAAAAATAAATAATTAATTTTATTTCTTAAGTCTTTGGATTCTTTGGTACTGTGTTTATAAATTACTAAACAGAGGTTTTTAAATTTATCCTTAAAAAATTTTCATTTTAACTGCAATAGGTAAGATTTTGCATTTTGATATTAATTGTCTGATATTTTTAAAGATGATTTTACGTCCAAATTCATTGTCAGTTTTTTAAAATAACAATTTCATTCTGGTTTTCATGTATTGGCATATCATTAAATCATTAAATCGTGTTTATTTTGTTGTTGCTCACATCACCTATAACTTGGCTCAAAATATTTTTGCTTCATGGATTAATGATTAAGAAAGGGAAAAGCAAATCTGTGAGAGAGGGGTGTTGAAATCTTACTCTATATGTTGAAATATATCTGTTTCTCCTTTTAATTCTTCCTATTTTTACTTGATATATTCTCAAGATATGTTTTTGAAGAACATAATAAGTTTACTATTTTTTATCTCACAATGATTTTCTTTTATCATTATATTAATTTTTGTTATATAGTCTAATTTATCTACTATTAATAGGGCTAAACCAATTTCCTTTTAGTATTTGAGTATAACATCTTTTTCCATACTTTTACTTTCAACCTTTTCTATCTTTATGTTTAGGTACATCTCTTGAAACCACTGTGGCTGGGTTTTAGAAACATCTACTCTGTTATCTTTGGCTTTTAACTGATAAACTTGTTCTTTTATGGTTATTTTATTCAAATAATTAGTCTTATTCCTTTTTTGTCTTATTGTGTGCTTTCTGTTTAGCTCACCCTTTCTGCGATTGATTTTTCTTCGATCACAGAAAATTATATATTAGAACTTTTCCTCTTCTATTATGCCTTCCTGTAGATTTTTTGATTGAATGCAACTTACCTTTTTTTCTTCTCTAGTAACTTGGAAATCATATACACCATTTATATTCTGTTAGTGGTTATATTAAAAAATTTTATCGTGTGAGCTTTATAAATTTCAGCCATTTTTTTGACCTTCTCACAAACACATGAGCTTTCAAACATTTAAACTTTTACACATCTTACACACTATAATATCCAGAATATGTTAAACTTTTTTTCCCCTACTCATGTTGTTAATTGCTTTGTGCCTAATTTTTGATTCATACAGTCCTTTCATCTGGGAACTTAACTTCTGCCTGATGTTCAGATCTTAGGATTTCCTTAGCTGTGTAGGCCTGCTGCATATCTTTTTTTTTAAATTTGAAAATCCCTTCATTGCCCCCATTCATATAAAATATTTTTGTTGAGTGTATATATTCTAGATTGATACTTTCTGTATTGAAGATAGCATTTAATTTTTTTCTGACTTCCATTATTGTTAAGTATACTGTGATTGTAGAAAACTTTCTTTTAAAATTCTGGGTTTTTTAAATGTCATCTCTTTATCTTTGATAAATGGCAACTTCAGTATTATGTTTCTGGTTGTGAATTTCTTATTTATTTTGTTTGAGATTTGGTTGGTTTTTGAGATCAGGGGATTGATGTCTTTCATTGGTTCTGAAGAATTCTCAGACATTTTTCTTTAAATTTGTTCTGTCCCATGTACTCTTTTCTCTTTCTGGGACATGCAGTAGGTGTATAGTAGACCACTTTGCTCTGTCTTCTGTGTCTATGTTCTTAACCTCGCTTTCATATTTTCTATCTCTTTGCTTCTCTGTGATCCGAAACCAGACAAGATTGAGGTAGATAAATATGAAAGCCAGATTTGCCCACACAGCAAATGCTAATATTAGCTCGTGGATCCAACTTCATACAGGAAAATTGCAACAGATGTTTTGGTTAAGACAGGACGCTTTAGAAATTAAAGCATACTGTCTGGCCTCTGGCAAGTGCGAATCCAGATGCTCTATGACTAAAAGGACTCCTCGTTTGGGACCTAAGGGCCCCATAGATTCAGCTTAAATATTAGCTCATAAACAGAAACACAAAGAAACAAGCCTCTATGAGTGAGAGCACTAATATAACACACTTCATTTTTGACTATCCAGAATTTCAAGTACTGGGATTTTTTTTTTCTTTGCTTGAATTTAAAAGGAATTAAAATGTTTGCTTTAATTCACTTAAGATCTAGTTTTATTATGCTAAGAGGGCTATTCCGTGCATCTAGTCTGTCATACTGGCATAGGTAGAAGCCTCTGTAGTTATTTTTTTTCACTCAGTAGTTTTTAATTAAAATCTTGACGTAATCATATTCATAGGAGGTTTTTTTTTTTTTTTTCTTACAGAGTTTGAGAATGACCTCTTTTAAAATTATTAGGATCATTTAGCTTTTTTTTTTTTTTTTAAAGATTTATTTATTCATTCAGAACTGGGGCACAGGCCAGAGATGTGGAGGGTGAGAGGATTTACCAGAGACAGAGTGGGGAGCAGAACAGGCAGATCGACGAAGTACACTGCTGAGGGGAGCAGCAGGCGGGTCAGGAGAGGTCTGCCACGCCATGTGGTCACCTCCAGGGCAGGCGGGGATCGAACTCATGTGGAATTGGTTCAAGCTTCTCAGTGCAGTGCTTCAACCTGCTGCGCCACCAGGGAGGGCCAGGATCAGATAGCTTTTTCCAAGTTGATAAAAAGATGTTTGGACTTTTAGTCTTTTTGTATAGAATGATAAAGAAAATGTTAATTCAAAACATTCTGAATAAAGTGACAATTAGAATTAAATACTATGTATCATGTCATAATAAATCACCTTTGATATTTTTGCTGATTAGAAATGTATCATTTTTTGGACTATATTTTTATTTAACTTAATTACCAATTTTCCTTTCTTTGTAATTTTCAGGCGGAATATTCATGGGGTAAGCAAAGAAAAAATAACAAGAATGTTGGAGCACTATCAACGTTTTGTTTCAGTGCCAATAATCATGAGTTCTTCAGTTCCAGAGAAAACTGAGCGTATTGAGTTGTGTGCATATTCTTCTGAGGACAGAAGTATGAGGTATGTTGACATTTCTGTGTATGAAACTTCAGTTTGAAACATAATTTTAAAAGATAGGAAATTTTGAGCTTTTGAAATCATTGACAAACAATCTTAAAAATAAGGTAGATGTTTATATGTAGGGTTTAGATGTAGTGTTCCCTGGAGCAGGATGTAAATGGTTAGCAAGAAAAGTAAATCTTTTTATTTTATTTTTTATATATTCTACAGCACTCTTCCTTTTTGTACAATGCATGCTTTCTCCTCTCAGATGTAGTTCCCTCAAAATACCCACCAACAGTTTACCATGCGCCATCACCATAGTCCCTTGTGTGCTTTCACACTTACCTGTTTTGATTTTGATTCACGCCCTCCCAACCTCCTCTCAGTGTCCCTGATTAGTAGTTGCCTGTTAATTTTGCTTTTAAATTTATTACAATTTTTTCCCCTGGCTCCTTATTTGGTTCCCCTATATTTCTCCTGTAAAAGTAAATGTTTATATGGGCGATGACAAGTGAGTTTTTTCATGTCCTCAAGGTTTTTGTGAGTCCTTGAATAGCCTAGGACCATTCCTTCCTGCCTTCTTTCTTTAGCTTCTTACCATTTTAGTACCTAATCTGCTACTTTTCTTCTCTTTGTTATTATTTTGTATATAGTCACACTACTTAATTTTCTTAGTAAGAATACATTTTTAACTATCATAAAATTTGACTTTAAAAAAAATAGATTTATTTATCTATGCATATAGAACTGGGGTACAGGCCAGAGGTGCAGGGGTGGTGAGAGGATTCACCAGAGACAGAGTGGGGAGCAGAACAGGCAGAGTGACTGAAATACACTGCTGAGGGGAATAGCCGGGGGGTCAGGAGAGATCTGCCATACTATGTGGGTTGCCTACCTGGCTGGGGATCGAACTCATGCTGTAGTGGCTTTGGATAGCTTCATAGTGCTGTGCTTTAACCCATTGCACAACCAGGGAGGGCCCATAAAATTTAACTATTAATGACATATTCTTACTAGGTACTGTAAGAATAACCTTTTGAAAGTTTGCAATATGGGATAGTACTGATTCTTTTATACTTAGGACATTACAAACAATTGAATAAATGAATAAAGAACTTAAGTATACACAGAGGAGTGTGAATCACACACATATGCACACACACACATATTGATAGTATGGAATGGAGTGGTTCTATTAAGATGGATTTAGGAGCCTGGAAAAGAAAACTAATAAATGCTCTTTTATTGAGGTACAGTGCTGTAAAGTAGTTAAGAGTAAGGGCTTTTGAGCTGTATTTCCTGTCTCTCAAGTCTCAAAGCTCTGCAACCTTTGATAAGTTCTAAAATCTCTTTATACTTTAGCTCCTCATTCCTAAAATGTCTGTATTAACAGTTTGTTCATAAGGACCTGAGAAGAATTATGAGTGAGTACTTGGTAGAGGATTTAGGATAGCATCTGCAACATAGAAAATTCAATTTTAGATCTGACTTTACTTAGGAGGCTTCATGGGAAAGTTGGGACTTTGAGAGCTCCTGGAATAAAGAAGAAACGATGACCTGAAAAACTGAATTTGAAAAAACACTGAAATTGAAGTGTAATGGTTAGGTTAGGGTCCAGTGTACAAAGGTAGAAGATTAGTAGGGCTCTGATGATGGGCATGGTGTGGTAATATATAACTGAAGAGGTATGAATCCATATCCCTAGTTATAATACAGTTTTGTAAATCAGTGTTACCTCATTAAAATGTGATAATATAAAAACTTGCTATTTAGCATAAATACTAGGAATATGTCAAAACTAAGAGATTGAAGGAAGAGAGAATGTTTTTTAATATTTAAATTAGAAATGATGTTCTAATATTGGGAACTCACAGAAATATGGATAAACCATTTATTTTTTAAAAAGATACTAGTAATTGAGTGGATATCTGGGTTTAAAAGGAATAGGATTAGACTTCTAGTGATGAGCTTAATGCAGTCTATATATGTTGGTTTTCAGTGATGCACACATCAGAATTATGTAATGTTAAAATGCAGTGTTATTTAAAATAAAAATAAAAATAAAAAACAATTTTAATGATTAGGTAAAGTGTTCTGAATATGAAATAAACCACTGAGGATGGTTTTAAAGCAAATGACTTCTCAAAATGACAGCTTTCCTACCTTTCTCTCATTTCTCTAATTGTCTAAATCCTATCAGTTGACTTAAGTGAGGTTTTAGCATTTTCTTTGGTAATAAATAGGTAATATAGAGGCAGACCTAGATATTGACTAATAATCTCATGTTTATTATTGAAGTAAAAAAAATTTGAGTGCTTCCTATGTGCCAAACATTGTGCTGGTGGTTGGGACACAGTAAAAGGATGTTTTAGTGTATTAAAGGAAGATCGGGATTCACTTTTATAATATTTATGTAGCTTATTTATAGTATTTTTGGAAGGAATAAGAGTTAAATGCTTTCTCTTTCAGTTGAAATTTCATTAGTTTAAATCATAATATTAATGACAACATTAAGAAAGTTGATTGTAATATTTGTAAAAACTCTTACAGCCCAAGGGACAGTGAAGATATTTCCTCTGAGAAAGAAAATGTTTTGTCCTCGCCTTTGAAGCACCTAGAGTTAATTGATGAGAAGAAGCCTGAAGTGACTGAAGAAGTTCTGCTATCTGAGAATGTTATATATATTTCAAATGCAGATTTAAACAAAGGCAGTAAAGAAATCAGTGATATGAATCCTAACATTCAGGAAGTTTCAGACATACGTTTTTCTGAGTTTCATTGTAAAGTACAAGTAACAGACAAAAGTGAAAAAGAGGAGCAAGTAGAAATGACTGCTGAAAAAGATTATAGTAAAACCAATGCAGATGGTTTTGTTGAGAATGTATCACCAAGTATCTGCTATGGTGAAAATAATCTAGAAGACTGTGACCTTTCAAATATTGTACCACATGAGAATGAAAAATCATCTAGTGAAATATTGGAAGACAGAGTAATGGTAAAGAAAAAAGCCTTTGGAAAACAAAAAAGCAAATCAACTTTGGAAAAACTCCCAAGACATGAGCTGTCAAGTTTTGTTGGTGACTGGCCAGTTGATAAGAGCATTGGTCAGAGGATAAAAAGGAACCGAAAAACTGAAAAAGGTTCACCTGTGCAAAGTGACAAAAAGTATAATCGACCTCAGTCACACAAAGTATTAGATAACAGTCTGTCTGTGAATTTAGATCATGTTCAGCAACAAGTATCGCCACATGATACTGTAGAGAATGACAGGACATCCCAGTGTGATGATGCTTCAGATTCTTTCAGTAGTAAATGTGATACTTATAAGAACACTGAAAAAACCTCATTTGGCATTGTGGGTGATTGGCCTTTACCCGATTCTTTAGCCCAGAGAGAGCGTAGATTAAGAATGCCAAAAGCTGGTGCAAGTGAACCTGACTTAAAATTTGGAAATAATGACGATACAAATGAAATATCTTTATATACAGCACATGAGGCCTATTGGGGCACAAGCACTGAAGAAATAAAAATACTGGGTGATTCCACTCTAGGAAGTTCTGAAAGACTTTCCAATGAAATGACCCAGGGCTGTCAAACTCATCTAAGTGAAAAGATTCATGGGCAGTGCTCTTTGTCTCTTACTTTAACCAGTAATGGGCCAACTATTACTGGAGTAGTAGGATCACAAAATTTAGGTGATTTTCCAGAAGGGAATCCTAAAGATTCTGGAGTGGAAGTACATATGTGTACACAGACTGAACCACAGGATTTTGCTCTTTTATGGAAAATAGAAAAGAATAAAATTAGTGCTTCAGATTCTGTTAGAGTATTAACAGGAAGATTAGATGGATTTAAACCAAAAGCTTTCAATATTAACACAAAGTTACATGCTCAAGAAACAATCCCATATAGGGTGATGTATGATAAAAGCACTTATGTTGAAGAAAGTGAGCTTACCAGTGCTGATGAATCTGAAAATCTTAACATTCTTTGTAAACTATTTGGGTCCTTTTCATTAGAAGCCTTAAAAGACTTATATGAGAGGTGTAACAAAGATATTATTTGGGCCACAAGCCTTTTATTAGATTCGGAAACTAAATTATGTGAAGATATAGAAGTTGAGAATAACCAAAAATCATATGATGAAGCACAAATTGGACCATTTTCTCTGGGATTGAATTTGAAGGAAATTATTAGCCAAAGAGAAAGTGGGGAGGATTCTAATTCTTCTATGCTAGAATTTAGCTATGGAGTTGGTATCAGTAATACTAATGTACAGTCTATCAGTGATTCAGAAAAGGGAAACTCAGGACAGGCAGAAACAAGAGTTATAACCACTGAAAATCCTGGATTAATAGCAAATATATTTCCTAATGTCACTGTAGATTTAAAGAATACAAATGACACACTTCCTAATAGTCAGGTAGAACTTTCAGGTTTATATAATGCTGAGCAGCCTTTTCCAGGTACTCTTAAAGCTACCACTTCTAAAGATATAAGTGAAATGGAAAAGAATCTACAAGTCACAGAGATTGGCGATAACATACATTCTTTGGGTTTGGCAGATATTTTAAATTCTGTATCGAGCACTTTAGATCTTGAATTAAACAAAAATAGTTTTACTGACTCTTTTGAAATAAAGAAAAGTGCAAATCTTCCAAAGGACTATGTGAAATTTTCAAACACAGAAGAATTTATGAATGAAGAGGAACAGGATGTAGAAAAAATTCTTACTGGGAGTACTTTGTTAGCTGGAGTTAGTGAAGACGATAAAACTGAAATGTCGAATCCCACACCTGTGATGGCCAAGTCTCTAACCATAGACTGTCTGGAACTGGCATTGCCTCCTGAGCTGGCTTTTCAGCTTAATGAATTATTTGGCCCCGTTGGTATTGATTCAGGTAAGGAACAGTAACTACTTCTATGTGTGTCTTTGAGGGTCCTGTTTCAGCTTAAAGATAATTTTATGTTAACTGAAATGTAAAGGTAATTTTGAGTTGTTTACCTTATTTTTGATGTAGTGTATTTGTAAATTTTTTTTTAAAAAAGTGATTTGAAAAAATAGAGTGTTTGTGTGGAGTTTGTATTCATCCCTTACATATTTTGAAGGTTTTTGCTGATATTTACCTCCTATTTATTTGTACAGATGAACCTTTTTGAATTCAGATACATTTAAAGCAAGATTGACTTTTTAGAATAGAATTATTAAAAAAGTCTTGACTAATGGAAAAAAATAAGTAGATTAATAGACATAAATAAATAGATGAAACTTTGTATGTAATTGCGTCAGGTAAGAACTCTAAAAACAGTAACATATAAATAAAACTTTCCAAAGATTTAATTACTAGAAATATAATTTAGTAATTAATAATAATATGGATTATTATTCTGATGCATAAGGTGCCTGAGTACATTTTCAGCGAATGCATAATAAATAGTAATTATATATCTATTCTTTTCTTCTTCCAAGGTTCTCTAACAGTTGAAGATTGTGTTGTACATATAGATCTGAATCTGGCGAAAGTAATTCATGAGAAATGGAAAGAGTCTGTAATGGTTGGTAGGCTTCTGTTTCTATAAACTGTTCCTTTTGTGTCCATTTTGTCACCTTTGCTTTTGAATAAAATCTATATTATGTGACGACAATCTGTTGAATTTTGACTTGGAGAAAGAACAAACTTTTACCAGTTAACAGATTGCTGATATTTTTTCTTTCCATTATTTTAAATTATTTATAGACTGGCCAAATTATATGATTAATGATGGAGATCAGTGTGATTACAGATTTTAAAAAAAGTACATTAAAAATTTTAAAAAAGATTAAAAAAATAATTTATGCATATAAGAACCAGGGTACAGGCCAGAGATGTGGGGTACGCCAGAGACAGAGTTGGGAGCAGAACAGGCAGATTGATGAAGATTGGGGGAGCAGTGGTAGGTCAGGAGAGGTCTGCCACACCATGTGGATCACCTTCCTGGTAGGGAATTGAACTTGTGTTAAAGGGACTTTAGCTTCGTAGTGCTGTGCTTTAACCTGCTGCACTACCAGAGAGGGCCCGCAGATTTTTTTAAGGGAAAACCATAAGCAGTGACTTTTTTTACTCTCCAAAATTAAAAACTTGCAATGCTGATTGATTAAATTTCAAAAGTTTTTTTTTGAATTTTAATGCATCGTAAGAGTTCTATCAGTGGAAAAACTATTTAGATGTACTTATATTTTATAACTTTATTGTTTTACTTAGATTTAACAATAGTGACTGGTAGCTATACAAGGAGAAATGATTTCTAGAGACAAATAATATAACCGTTTCCTACTGACCAAGTTTCCTCCTTTGCTAACCCCCTGCTCTGTCCGCATTTAGGAGCGACAAAGACAAGAAGAGGTATCCTCTGGCAAGTTTGTACAAGGTAAAGCATATATTTTTACTTCAGATGTTCTCTCTTGATATTCAAACAGGTATATATGTATGAGTTTTAAATAGACTTCCATAAAGTAGGTCATTTAAGACTCTTGACTTGCAAACAAAAGTTTAAAAAATATTTTGATATAAAATAAAACCTAAACAGTAAAAAAGTCTAATGTAATTTAACTTTCATGAATGCTGTGGAACACCTAAGGTGGGCTGTAATCTGTATAACCAGAGGTTTTGGTTAAGGGCTTGTTCTCAGTGACAGAAAGCAGTTCTCAGTTGGGAGCAATAAGGTATTAACTTGTTTGATTCAAAGCATCATTGAAATAATGCTTGGTTATTCAATATTTTTATTGATGTTAATATTATTGGAATGCAAAAGGCAGTCTGCTTTTGAGTCCATCTGCTAAGTTGAAAATAATTGATCCCAGAAGATTTCTTAGTGGCATAGACTGCAGTGATTCATACAGGGTAAAAGATATGTTACAGAATCCTTTTGTGCATGAGTCCCTCCAGATGTCTCTTTTGTCCATTCCACACTTATTCCAAATTGAAGATTTTTAAGGACCTGTTTTAGTTTAGACCTGTATTTGTGGCATAACTTCAAAGATGTTTGAAAGCTAGAGGTGCCCAAGGGGTATCAGATTGAACAAATGGCAGTACATCTACTATTTCTTCTGCTCTCCAGGAAAACAAAGGAATATATTGGAATATGTTGCTGTCTCTTAGATATGCTGAGAGATGTTGCACATCAAATCCTGTTATTGTGAACTTAGAATGTTCATTTCCTTACTTTTGTTGAATATTATTCCCTTGGCATTTATTTTGTGTCTGTTACCCATTACATTGATCATTTCATCCCTTGGTGTGACTGGGGTCAGTAGGTCACTTCCAGATGACTGCATCCTGCAGTGCTTGCTAGTGCACATACTGGTCACTATTTTCTGTGTGTTGATATGATATGAAAAAGACTAGGAAGTCGTTTGTTAGTCTGTTTGAGTGACACTTTGATCATTGTTCATTTGAAATAGTCTCATGTTTACACATACCATTTCTTGTTTGCAATAATGGGAAGATGTATTTTGAACCTTCACAGTTGCATTATATTTATAAACTAAAAGTGGAAGACATTTGCTGGGTCTTCATGAAATAGATATAATGAAGAATGCTAGGTTTGTACATTTATTATTGGGGTCTGATACTATTTACACTGCTTTTGTAGATTCTCTCCAGATTGGGCATATTGGATTTGATAATCCTGAACAAAGGTCATCTCAGAAAACAGGCAAAAAATTACTGAAGACTTTAGCAGCACCTGAAATGCTATCTTTATCGGATCATTGGAATACTCAAACTAAGAAAGTATCACTCAGAGAAATAATGTCAGAAGAAATTGCCTTACAGGAAAAGCATGATTTGGTATGAATTATTCTAAATATTAAACCTGAGCTAATTGTGCATTACTTTGTAATTTTCATTTAATCTATACTTTCTAGCCTGAACTCTGTATTTGACCTGATTGAAGTTAATGATAGAATTGAAAAAGGTTTAAAATATAGTTTAAAAGGAAGAATTTCTTTTGGGAAGCAAGTTCAGATTTTCCAACAATAAGGTAACCTACGGTAAATCTCTGTTGTTTTAGATTTGATTTTATAACTGATTGAGCTGCATATTTCTAAACATTTAACATTTACCTCTAATTTTTAAAAAAGATTTATTTATTTATGCATACAGAACTGGGGTACAGTCCAGAGGTGCAGGGGGTGAGAGGATTCACCAAAGATGGAGTGGGGAGCAGAACAGACAGATCAAAGAAGTACAATGAAGGGAACAGCAGGAGGGTTGGGAGAGGTCTGGAGCACCATGTGGTTTACCTCTGGGGCTGGGGATCAACTGGGCTGCAGTGGCTACAATAGCTTCATAGTGCTGTGCTTTAACCCCTTGCACCACCAGGGAGGGCCCTAATTTTTTCAACTATATGATAGAAATCTATCATATAAAGGTATTTCCATATTCATTATTCAAAGATAGAAATGCCTATCTTTGAAACAAAGTATATTAAAAAAAGCTTTAGATAACTTAAGAATTTAAATATTCTGCCTTTTCTCTTTAACTCATGTCCCTTTTATGAGGACCCGTGGGAGAAATTTCCCTCAGGTCTCACTATAAGAAAAGCTGTACTTCTGAGCAAGTGGCTTGTTTTATTTTATGGACACTGAGAATCTTTGTTTTTAGCTTTGGCCACTGAGAAGCTTAGAGCTGAGTCTGTGGCCCACCTTCAGCACTTGTGCAGGATTTTGTGACATGAATTTATATACTAATTTTACTTGCTAGCTTTCTTCTATATTCCTGCCTTTATTTTCTCTACCCTCTTAACTTCACTTATTTATATTCTCTTTATTCACATTATATATATACTTATATATAATAAGATTGTTTATATACATATATATATAATATACACATATGTATCTATTTTTTTAATATGTGATTGTGTTGGGATTGTTTATATGAGAGTATGTGTGTATATATTTAAATGTATATGTATGCATGTGTATGTGTGTGCATATTTATGAGCAGCTTCAAGTTCTTTTCCAAAAATGAGAAATAAATAGTGAAATAAATAAAGAATAAATAAATAAATAAAGAACACTACTTTACTAATTTCAACCTTTAATCAGTGAAGAAAGTCTGATTGCTTTTAAATGATAAATTTTTTGCAACTAAATAACTGTGCTTTGGATCACCATAATTTGTATTATAAATTTCATCTTAAGGATGATTTTGTTTTGTCTTGTTTTAGAAAAGGGAACCACTTACGTTCGAAAAAGATTGTGCCACTAAGCTAAAAGAGAAGGAGCTCTTTAAGATATTTCCGGCCATTAACCAAAATTTTCTAGCGGACATTTTCAAGGACCACAAGTAAGTGGTGGAATGATTGTAATTTCTACTCTTTTGTTACTGAAATCACATATTGTATGTTTTAAGTTCCTAATTTTATTTTTTGATGTCAGAAATAATATATGTCTAAACCATCCCAATTTAATATATACATAGAGAGAATGTCGAGAGCGAGCAATATTCTGATAGTTGATTCCTAGTCACCTTCAGGTTTTGCTCATATTTATGCTAATGTGTGTATGCATATGTGTATGCTATTTGTTTTGGTGAAATACGTCACCAAAAAATTGTGTTTTATGTACTACTTTATAGTATAGTATAGTATCTGCTCATTTCTTTTTTAAAGTCTATAGTGTTCAATAGTATTCTTAAAGTGGTTGTTAAAGTACTGTTATTTACTTGTTCATTTATTTTAAATACTCAATTTTATTTTCTATCGTAGGCCAGTACAAAACAAATTATAATTTGTTTTGAAATGGACCATCTCTTTAGCCAAACAAAACTATATAATACATCTTATTTGTCACAGATATGGCCATTTTCTGTTTGCTAAGAAAAAGCTGCTTAATACTGTAAGTTTCTTTGCCACAGAGGAAAGCTGCAACTGCTACCGTAAGAATGTTGCACGCCAGTAGCTGTGGAATGAACACACTGTAATTTATTTAAACATGCTCTTACTGACTTTTTGACTGCAAGAAACATATCCAACCATGTTGTTTCAAGCGTCCGTGAGCTTGAATCTTTGTGTGCATTAGTGAATGCTACTGTAGGTTGGTGTCTAAAGTGAAGTTGCTGGCTCAGTGTGTTCATTTAAAGATTTTATAGCCACTGCTAAATTTCTTTTGCTACTGGTGTTCCGAAGTATGGAAAGTGTAACTCACCCTTGGTTTAAAAAAAGCTTAAAAAATTTTGACATTCTGACAGGAAAAATATTTTTTAAACTATTTAAAAAATCAAAAATTAAAATGTTTTTATCTTCCTGATTCATAGTAAGGTTGAACTTTTTCTTTCTTTATTATTTTTTTCCTGTTGTTTATTTTTTCCTCTCTTTCCCCTTTGGTTGTTTTTATTTCTGAATTTGTGACAACTCTTTATATATTATGCTTGGTAATCCTTATTAATATATACTACATTTGTTTTTCCTGTTTCTTTGGTGATGTGCATGGCTCTAGTACCAGGGTAATACTGGCATTAAAAAGTGTTTGAGGAAGCATTCCCTCTTGGAGTTTTAGAAAGAATTTGAATGAGATGGGTGTAAGGTCTATAAAGCTTTGTACCATTTACTTATAAAGCCATCTGACACTGGGCTTTTGCTTGGGGGAGATATTTGATTACCGTTTCAATTTCTATGATTGTGATTGCTTATTCAACTTTTTTTTTCTAGTTCAGTCTTAGTAAACTATATTGTAGAAATTTGGCCATTTCTTAAATGTTATTGTATTTTTTGAATAATAATATCTTACAATCTTTGTATTTTTCTTCCACTTCTAATTCCATTTGTTCATGAGTTCACCTTTGTTAGCCCACTTAGATAGAGGCTTATTGATTTTATCTTTTTAAATTAAGAACAGATTCTGAGTTTTACTGATGTTTTGTATAGTCTTTTTGATTTGGTTCATTAATTTCTGTTCTTTTAATTTCCTCCTTCTAATCTTGGGTCAAATTGTTCTCCTTTTCAAATTGTTTTTGGTAATATTAAGTTGTTTATTAGAGATTTTTCATATATATGGGCCTGCATTGCACTTACCTTCCCTCGTAAGACCGTTTTGTGGAGTCCATAAGTTCTGATAGCTTATATTTTTATTTTCAGTAGTCTTGAGGTATTTTATGATTTCTGCTATTAAGCAGCCTATTATTTAGACTCCACATATTTAAGATTTTTTCCAGCTTTTTCAGTAGTTGATTTCTATTGTAACATTATGATCTCCAAGTACTTAGTATATCAATCTTCATAGTTCTATTGATGATTGACTTGTGTTCCAACATATGGCATGGAGCACAGATGGGTTATATGTAGACTGAGTAGTATAGAGAATCCTCTGTCTTTCCAAATCAACCTAGTCACACCTAGAATTAATTAATCTGACATTGGATAACAGTTTCACAAAGGAAGAACCCCTTCCCATAGAAAGATCATATCAGAATAAACCTGCCCAGCCCAGGCAACTTTCTGTCGGCTTGTGTCTGCATAATCATCATCTCCCTCCCTTTGCTCTAACAAACTTGTCTTTCTGGGCTATAACCGAGTATTTTCCTCTGGGTAAACTTGTGTGCTATTGAAAGGGGAACTTTGCTGAAGAGGTAAAGAGGTAACCAAAGGAGCCCTACTTCTGGAACCCAGCACCTCATCATTACTATCAGGAAAGCATGCCTGAATAATGTAATGGTGAGAAGTAGGGTGGTGTTTTCCTTCCTGTTTCCCGCCTTAGAATTTCTTTTATAATAGCTCTGTGGTATTGGTAAAAAGTGGTATTTGACACAATAAAGTGTCAGTTTAAAGATCTATTATATGCTGTTTGAAGGAAACTGAAACCATTTGTGAATCTATCAAGGGACTTAAGTATAGGTGATAAGATGAAAGAAAGAGAATCTTTACTGGAATAAAAGATCAGCAGATGAATTATCAGTGTTATCTTTTGGTATTTATTGTTGAGAATGAGTTTCTGAGAGCCTGTTTCTTGAAGTTTCCTTCTGGTCATTCTAAAATCTTTGGGATACACAATGAACATTTGGTTTTCTGTCTATACTTAAAAGTGAGGTAATTTTTTATATTATAAAATGTTTCAAGGAATGTATATGTTAAGGTTTCCACATCGCTTATTACATTTGTACTTAAATCCTCTACAGCTATTCATTAGAACAAACAGTGCAGTTTCTAAACTGTGTTCTTGAAGGAGATCCTGTAAAAACAGTTGTAGCACAAGAGTTTGTTCATCAAAATGAGAATACTACTTCTCATATGGCACAGAAATCTAAGGAGAGAAAGGTATGGAGTTACCTATTTTTATTATAATGATTAATAATTGCATATGAAAATAAAATTGGTTTGTTGAGTAATTTAATGATTTTTTTTCTCACCAGTTTAACTAGTATGGAAATTTAACCACCAATAATGTATTTGATTTAGAGTATTTGTTTAGTCAAAATAATGTATTTTCCCTACAGTGTCATTCATTGTGTAGTGGTGGGTTGTTAATATGATAGATCTTAGGATATAAATCTGTAGGAAGAAATATGTAACCATTTGAAAAACTGCCTTTCTTTCTTTAAAAAGATTTATTTATGTATCAAGACCTGGGGTTATAGGCCGGTGATGTGGGAGGTGAGAGAATTCATCAGAGACAATGTAGGGAACAGAACAGGGAGCAGTGGGCGAGGCAGGAGAGGTCTGCTGCTCCATGTGGGTCACCTCCCTGACCAGGGATCAAAGTGGAGCTGCAGTGGCTTTGTATGGCTTCATAGTGCTGCATTTTAACCCCTTGTGCCACCAGGAAGGTCCCTGCCTACCTTTCCCCCCAATGTATGAGAGTTGTTTGTTCACATCCTCTCTCTCTTTCAATTATTTGATTTTTGATTGTAGCAATTCTGGTGGGTATAAAGTTGTTTTAAGGGTATTTGGGACTTGTTTTAATCAGGTATAGTATTAAGATCTACAGACCTGGGGATGTTAAAAGAAAGTTTAACAGTAACCTAGAAACTAGAAGTATCACCTACCACCTTACCACATCAGGCAGCACCAGTGTTGATCAGGAAGCAAGAGTAAAGCACAAACATGGGCAAGAGCTTTTAACATGATAGCTATGAGAGGATCGTGCAATACAGGGAAGCTGGTTTAGCATTGACTTGTTTGAATAATATCAACATGCTCGGGGTGCATCAGGACTAGTTTTCTGGTACCGGTCCTGGGTGATGAGGGTATTTAGATGTTGGTCTGAAAACTTCATAAAAGTTTAATTGTATACCGGCTTAATTGTATAGTGGTGGGTTGTTAATATGATGGATCTTAGAATATAAATCTGTAGGAAGAAATATTTAACCATTTGAAAAACTGCCTAATTTCTTCCTTTAAAAAGATTTATTTACTTATTTATGTATCAAGAACTGGTATACAGGTTGGGGGTATGGACTCTAGATTGGCTGGTTTGCATATGTAAGTTATATTAGCAGATGGATTGTCTACTTTCTTTAGTAATTAGTTAACCCATAGGGTGGAGGGATGGGGGAAGAATGGGGCTGATGGAACTCTATAGGGGCCAACAAGCCCCAGATGCCAAAGAAAGCCTCAGAACACAGGATATAAAAGACATGATTAATGTAGAAGTGTTATCTCACTGTGATTTGATTAGCAGTTCCCTGATGACTGATGATGTTAAGGAGCTTTTTATATGCTGGTTGACTTTTTGTATATTTTTTTGAAAAATATGTATTTATAACTTTTGCTTATTAAATTTTTTTCATCCTTATATTTTTCCAAGTATTTTATAGATGGAAGACACCCCTAAGTGCCTTATCAGATATGATACATTGCAAATGTTCTAAAGATTTTCTTTTCCTATTTTTGATGGTGTCCTTAGGAACACAAAGTTTTGAAGTTTGATGGTTTGCAGTTTCTCCTAGCTAAGAAATGTTTGCCTTCTTCAAGGTCATAAAGATTTGTACCTATGTTTTCTTCTAAGAGTTTTGCAGTTTTAGTGCTTATGTTTAGATCTTTGACCCATTTTGAATTAGTTTTGTGTGTGGTGTGTGATGGGGTAAGAAGGGGTCCAGGTTCGGAACCTGCACAGCACTTGGCGCAGTACCACTGTCTGCAAAGACTGTTCCTTCATGGTATTTTCTTAGCTTCCTTGTTGAAAATGAAGTGATTGTAAGTTTACTGTCAGACTAGTATGTCTGTCATTGTACAGATACACATTGTCTTAATTACTGTAACTTGCAGTTTAGTTTTGAAATCAAGAAGTGTGTTTTCAGTTATGTTCTTTTTCAAGATCGTTGCCCCTTGCATTTCCTTGTGAGTTTCTGGATTGGTTTGTCAATTCTGCAAAGATAGCAACTGGAATTTTCATGGGGATTGTGTTGAATTTGTAGATAATTTGAGGATTGTTATTATCTTAAAAATATAAATCTGTGAACGGGGTATTTTTCAATTTATTTAGGTCTTTGTAATTCAAGAGTGCAGTGTAATGTTATTACACTTTTATACCTTTGATTTCTAAATATTTGTTCTTTCTGATGCTATTATAAATGGACTTATTTTCTTTATTTTTGGACTGTACATTGCAAATACATAGAAATATAATTGGTTTGTATGTTAATTGTACATTAGCTGTAGGCTTTTTAAACAGACCCTTATCATCTTACTATTCTTATTAATAAAAACACTCATGAATAACTGTGTCTTTCTTTTTTTCTTTATTTTACTATCACTTAGTGGATAGATAGAACTTAGGTAATTCTGGTATTCATGTGACTTCTGTACTCTACATGGGGCAGGGCTCAAGCGATGCCACTGGTATCTGTGTTCTTCATGGATGGTAGGTACAGTATATTTTAAGATGCAAAGAGTGTACAAGATGATGATGAAATCTTCAAGATGAAACCGGAAGTGAAGACTACTTCTCTGTCCTGGTGACAGCAGAGCATTGTGGGTCATTATGGTGACAGAGGAAGTGATGAGGGAAAAGTGTGCTTGCTCACAGTTGGAGATGATTGGAAAATGTTGCAGTCAGAAAAGGAAATTTTGAGGCATTGTCCAAAATAATAACTTCAAGTTATACTGGAGATTTTTCTTGGGCTTTCACACAAATGTGTCAGAGCACTAACAAAAGTCTTTTTAAAATCGGTGAGCAGAATATTGTCTGTCTTTGATATTCTGAAACCGTAAGGTCCCATAGATATTAAAGGGATGTATCTTGGTACTAGAAACACTCATTTGTTTTCAAGGAGTAAACACTTCAGACTATGTTTTATTGCTACTACCAGGAAACTCCTTGACATTTAATAAATTTAAAAGTCTATTTTGACATTTAATAAATTTAAAAGTCTTTTTGCCATAGGGAAATTTTTGGTATTATAGAGAATAAGTGGCACTAATTAGGTGAATTCTTAGGAAGTCACTGTTTCACTTTGCCCTTGTAAATGAAGTTGTAATAAACCCCATCACTGTGAGATGGATATAAAAATGATCTTACTTTAAAAGAGAATGGACAATTGAGAAAGCATCTCTCATTATATACTCTCACCTACCCTCCTTCTTAAAGGAAAGAAATGGAGGGTTTCTCTTCATACAACCGGACTTAATTTGCATGTCTTAGTATGAATACAAACAGAAAGTTTAATGCTATAGAATATTTATATTCCAGTGTTAGGCACTATGGGTTTTTCAGAAGTCGTAGAAAGTAACTTTATTCTCCCTTTCACCCAAAGTCTTGATTTTATCAGGAATATAATTCATACACTCATAGACTATTTAAACACTAGTATGAAACAAGCTTGTGATTACATAACAAAGAAAATGACACAGGATATAAGTTCTATGAATATTCTTAAATGTAAGGTTGACTGCCTTGTGTTCATTCATAAAACAAGCTAGGTGTTTGCTGCAAAAATAAATCAACTATTCTCTCATTTACAGATTTTTTACTTTGCTGATAAGTTAGTAGTATAGTGATACCTTGATTCTTTCATTTTAAAATTCTAGAGTTTTAGGCAAGAAATTTTACCCCCAACTACTGTTAGTCTAGTTTTTTCCAACCTGTATTGGCTTGTGAATTCCATTCATAAGTAGGAAATTTTTAAAAACGTACTTTTATTCAATTGTAATATATAGTATATAACGCATACATGTAATTGTAGTGTAATTTATACAAATGCTTTTACATAAAAAATTAAATCAGTATTAAAGGTTGTATCATGGAATGCATTATAATTATAGTCTTTGACAATTTTTTTTTAAAAAGATTTATTTATTTATTCGTACAGAACTGGGGTACAGGCCAGAGATGTGGAGGGTGAAGAGGATTCACCAGAGACAGAGTGGGGAGCAGAATAGGCAGATCGACAAAGTACACTGCTGAGGGGAGCAGTGGGCGGGTCAGGAGAGTTCTGCTGAGCCATGTGGGTCACTTCCAGGGCAGGGAATCAAACTCATGGTGAAGTGGCTTTAGCTTCTTAGTGCTGTGCTTTAACCTGCTGCAGGGTTAAAGTAGAGAGGGCCTACTTTTACTTCTTGAAGGTTTATTTTGGATAGCAGTTACCTGATGGATGATTTTTCATAATGTTCATTGAAATTGTTTAATACTCTACACTACCCTCTGGCTAGTTGGTAGTTGGCCGATTGAAAAACACTTCTATGAATATTTATGATGTTTACTAACTACCAGATGTAGTCATTCCACATGCCTTTTCTGTTTTAAAAACAATATAGATTGCCTTTTTAAATGGAAATATTATTTCCTTCAATAACTGGGCCCACCCAATAGGTTTACAAACTAAAACTTGGAAAATGTTGCATAAATGAGTTTTGTATTTTCTCTTTTGGCATGATTTTGTGACTGGAATATATTTTGAGAATTTTAGATAACTTTTTAACATTTAAGATAAGACTAGTTAAAGAAGGGAAATCGTTTATGCCATAAAGAAGTTACTGACTGTTACTAAGTGCCTGGCTTACTAGGTAGACATTGGGGAGCATCTGTTTTGTGAGAAGGAAAATGAAAAATAGTATAACTTAGTTTTCATCTGTATTTTTGGAAGGTAAACCTGTGATTTTGACTTTCTTCGTATGTTATCTATTGTGTAATTAATATCTTACAGACAAAGAAATCCAAAGAGACTGAGGATATACTAAATGAGCCATCTTTCCAGGATTTTGAGTACCCAGAGTATGATGACTATAGGGCAGAGGCTTTCCTGCACCAGCAGAAGAGGATGGAATGCTACAGCAAGGCAAAAGAAGCTTATCGGATGGGGAAAAAAAATGTCGCTACATTTTATGCGCAGCAGGTAAAGTAGAAAACTGATGATGATAATTTTTTTTTTGTCATTTACGATCTGTGACCAATCTTGAAATAATTCATACTTGTGTTCTTTTTTGGGGAGGGGAATGTATAGATGAAATAGGTGATATAAATAAGGTGTCCTAATTTTCATAAGAAATATATGGTTCTGAGAATTTCATCTCCCTTTAAAATACTCCATTTCTGTGGTTCCTGCCATGAATTGCAGTCCATGAGTTCTGCCAATCCATGTTTTCCTTTTGGTTAGATTTACTTAGAGGTTTTCTGTACAAAAAACAGCAGGATGTTAATATAGACCTTATAGGGGCCTTGTTTGAAATTTTAGAAACATATCAGTCATTTTTATAGTTTTGTTATTTTGAAAGAATTATTCTTTTATTTTAAGATTTTTATTTTATTTATTTTTGCATAGAAGAATTGAGGTGTAGGATAGAGGTGACGGAGGTGGGGTGAGAGCATTCACCAGAGACAAAGTTGAGAGCAGAACAGGCAGAGCTACTAGAAGTACACTGCTGAGGGCAGCACCAGGCAACACAGGAGAGGTCTGCTGTGCCATGTGAGTTAGCTCCCTATCTGGGGATTGAACTCAGGCCACTTTGCCATGGGAGCCTCTCATGGTGGTAGATCTGACTGAGCCTTAACCTTTAGGTCACCAGGGAGGACCCCTCACTTTTATAGTTTGAAAAAGAAAATTATGTTACTATATTTCAGGGAAGTAAAATTTCTATTGGCTCATTTGGCATGGTATTACAAGAAACATGCCTGATACACTTTTTAATTTTTGTGGTTCCATATGGCTTATTTTTCATGATAGGCCAAGGAGAGGTATCAAAATGGTATAACCTTATCATGCACGCTAGTTGCAAACCATGAGAAATGACTGCAAAGCATTGAAAGAGACGAGACCCAGAATTACCAAAAGGGTAAACTAACGTGTTCCTTTCTGAAACAGGAGGTATTTAAGTTTGCCTAATGATTTTCAGTCTAGAAGATATTTTAGAAATGTGATTAGTAGTTTAAGAATTTTATTATTGATTTACTGAAATTCAACTAAATTTTGATTCATTCTTGCCTGTTAACCCATTGCATATTATATTAAAATTTTAGATTAAATGTTCTCTCTCTCTCGGCTCTACCAAAGATGACTCCATCAGAAATGAGGCATTTTTTGTTCCTCATCGACTGAGTAACAAATATCAAAAGCATTTACTGGTGGTGTGTTTATAATTCCAGGGTAGTCTCCATGAACAGAAGATGAAAGAAGCCAATCACCTTGCTGCTGTGGAGATCTTTGAGAAAGTCAATGCCTCCCTGCTGCCACAGAATGTTTTAGACCTCCATGGGTTGCATGTAGATGAGGCTATCGAACATTTGATGACAGTTTTACAGCAGAAAACTGAAGGTAGGACTGTAATGGTGACAAACTGTCAACAGAAAATATGTCGTTGACTATTGGTATGCCTCTCAAATTCTGGGGAGAAATCTTCCATTTATGTGTACTTCACATACATTAAAGTATCTTGTTGGCTTAACATTTGTTTCCTTGTATGTTATTAGCAGACATTCTTTGATACAGAGGATCCTGCTTCCCCAGTTGTTTTTTAAAGTGGAATTTTGGGGGAAAAAATCTATAAAACATAATACAGATTAAAAAATAATTTAAGAGTATCTAAAATTTATTGCTTAGTATGTAGAAAAGGAAAACATGGGAGCATTATAAGAGAATATGCCTTCTATAAATTAATAATTTACTCAATGAAAATTGGATTCGCTTCTGTATTCTGGGCATCAAAGAGTTAAAGACAAAGTCCCTGATCTAGGAGAATAGATAAAATAGTTACATAAATACTCAATTCTCATCTTGTGTTTTGGACTTCTCTTTCTGTATGTTGACTTCCAGACTAAGACAAGCTTCCTGTAAGTAGCCCTCTTAGCCTTTTTCTATATTATCATCTCTGTAAAAAGCTTATTGTGTAAACTTACTGTTAAATATGTGTCTCTCTGGCCAAGAATTAAGTCAATGATGATTAATCAGTTTATATATTGTCTTTCATTTAGTAGTCAATAAACCTTGAATGAAAGACTGAATTAAGGGGTAATTGATAATTTTAAAAGTATATTAAAATGAAAAATAGTAAGTGTTGTTAAAGATGTAGATAATCGGAACTTTCATATGTTGCTGGTGTAAATGTTAAGTAGTCAGGTTAAGGATAGATATCCTGTGACTCACAGTTCCGCTTCTGGATATGTACACAAGAGAATTCAAAGCATAATTCATAAAAAAAGTGGAAACAACCAAAATGTCCATCAACTGATGATTGAACAGATGGAATGTGGTCTGTCCATCCAATGAAATACTATTCAGCAATTAAAATAAACGAAATTGGGCCCTCCCTAGTGGCGCAGCGGGTTAAAGCACAGCACTGAGTGCTGAGAATCTAAAGCCACTTCCACATGAGTTCGATCCCCGCCTGCCCCGGAGGTGACCACATGGCGTGGCAGACCTCTCCTGACCCGCCCGCTGCTCCCCTCAGCAGTGTACTTCGTCGATCTGCCTGTTCTGCTCCCCACTCCTGTCTATGGTGAAGCCTCTCACCGCCCCTGAGCCTCTGGCCTGTACCCCAGTTCTGTATGCACAAGTAAATAAATCTTTAAAAAAATAAAAAATAAAATAAAATAAAAAAGATGAAATTACTGACAAATGCTACTGCATGGGTCTACCTTGTGAACTTTATGCTATATGTAAGAAGGTTGATACAAAGGTCACATGTTGTATAATTTCTCTTTGTACAAAATGTCCAGGATAGATAAATCCAGTGCAACAGAAAGTGCAGTGGTGATTGCTGAGGCTGGGAAGCAGGAAGAGGAATGACTGCTAGAATTTCTTTTTGAGATGATGGACTATTCTGGAATTAGGTAGTGGTGATGATTGCACAATGTTATTGTAATATACTAAAAACCACTGAATTGTCCATTTTAAAATCATGAACCTAGTTATATGACTGTCATCTCAGTTAAAAATAATTACAGGAAAAAAGGAGTTGAAACAACTGTGTAAAGTGATCAGTGGTCAGAACCAAGAACAAACTCTGGAAGACAAGCCCATTTGTACGCAGTCACCTATGGTAGCTTGTAGTTACTGTAAATCCCCACCAGATGGTAGTATTGTTGACTAGAAATGTGTATGGGAAAAATTTGTGGTTCTACCCTGCCTTGCTCTTTAGGTATAAGATGAAAGGATTGCCAAAATTGGAAGTAAAAAATAATATTAAAACAGTTAGCCGAACCTTATACCTTCTAACTGAAATATACACCACCACCACCTGTGAAGTCTTTTTGCCTCCAAAGAAACTAGAAGCAGATATATCAGGCCTTTAGTTCTAACTATACTTCGATAGAGACTTACAGGGAACAGAGGAACATGTTGAATGGCACCATGAAGATACAATACAAGCAGAATTCAGACTGCAAATTTAGTGTAAATAATGTTTCCAAACAAATTGTAAAGAGAAAGATGGGGGGAGTGAGCCTTCAGATTAAAAGTTACTTAAATGATTGGCCAAAAGCAGTGTGTATTTGCATGAGTCAAAATGTGTGAACCAGTTTTAATCCTGATTCATACAAACCACTGTAAAGACATTTTCTGAGACTGTTGGTGGAAATATTTAGCCATTTTTGAAAACTGATATTAAAGAATCATTAAAAATTTTGTAAGACATAATGGCAGTTATCTATATATTTTAGAGCCCTTATGTTTTTGAAGTAAATATTGACTAATAGTTTAAATGGTAAGAAATCTGAGATATGGTTTGAATAGTTTTGTTAAGGTGAGGAACAGTGGAAAGAGCCTAAAATTTGAGTGCCTAGACAGATACATTAATTCCTTCTACAAATATCCTTTGTTTGAGGCTTGTGAATTAACTAGAGAACCTTTTCAGAACAGTAAGTAAACTATTAAAAGGTGAGATGGCTTAAATAAATGACCTAGCAATGAGGGGAGTAGTTGTGAAGGAATAATGAGAATGAGTTATGGTTAATTCAAAGTATTATTATGGGTTTAGAATATTTAATTATTAGGATTGTGTTGAAGATAATTAATAAATATACATCAGTAAAGCATATAATAATTCTTAGGTGTCACTAGTATTATTAGTCATTATCGTTACTTCAGAGAGAACTAAAAATTTCCCTACCCTACAGGGGAAGAAGTCCCACTGTAGTCTTTAGGGAGATGAGTTGCTATGAATTTTCCTTACTTACACCATAGGTAAAATACACATTTTGAAATAATAATTTGGGTTTCTTTGAAGCATTAAATCTCTAGATCTCTGTGAAATGTTTATATGTGTTTGAGTAGTTAAGGTCTGTTTTCTGTTGAGAATGTAAAATGAATTTTAACTGGTCCAACTTCTGTTGTACAGAATGTAAGCAGAGTGGAGGTAAGCCCTATCTTTCTGTGATTACGGGAAGAGGAAACCACAGCCAGGGAGGAGTTGCTCGCATCAAACCAGCCGTCATTAAATACCTCACAAGCCATAGCTTCAGGTGAGTATAGATTTCTGTTATTGATAATGTCAGTTACCCATATGTAGCTAGTGAACACTGAAATATGCTTATAGTGAAATGTTAAAATAGTTAACTAAAGTTAACTATCTGATTTTAGAAATCCATGCTTAAATTATAGTGTAATAGTCTTTGCTGGATTTATGATTTCCATTAAACCAGAAATGATGGGGAGGAGGTGTTTGCTGTTGACATATCATCTGACAAATTTCTATCATAAATTTAAAATCCTTAAAGAAAGTAAAATATATTTGGGTTTCTTTGACAATGTATTATCCAGCATAATCAAATTATCCATATCATAATTTAAGGTTTATTTCTTTGAAAGAAAAAATTGTATTTGTGGGTTTGTAAGGAACAGGGGGCTTCTGCTGAAATATAGTTACAATTTGGTTGTGGTTAAACTTTCGCAGGAATGCTCCAGACAATATAAATTTATGCATTGTCCTAAATATAAGTTAAATGTCATTAATGATCTCAGCCGACAATTATGAAATGTGCTTTTCATTAGTTGATGAAAATAATAGATTCAGTAATAGAAAATTACAAGAAATGTCCAAGAATAAATATCTGCTGCTAAATATATTCTCTGAGGTTTATCCTTACTGTTTTCCCCTAGTTCTAGCTTCATTAGTGTACTATGTTTTGTTTATGCTATGCATTAAAGTGTTGCTAAACTGGTAGCATTAATTCTGAGCCTAAAAACATGACGTTTCTGTTAGTAGTTAGACCAAAGGAGCAGTAAGAGCAAAGGAGTAGTTAGATCAAAACCATATCACGTCAGGAGTAGTTATCTATTTTTGAGACAAGTGTTTTCCTTAAATAAATTTCACACTGAGGAAACTGAAATAATTTCATGGCCTGATGAATCAGTTACCTATTATATTGGAGATAATCTCCTTGGCACTGACTTAATGCACAAAAATAATGTAATGTAGACATCATCTTATACAGCATGTTCTTTTTCATGAAGGCCAAATTCAGGCTTGACAGTTTTAGAAAATATCAAATTATGATAATTGCTAATTTAGGAGTAAACCTTAGCTTTAGGATTGTATTTATTTTTACAATGGATTGAAAGGAACATAAGCATAAATACTGGTCCTGAATACTGACTTTTTATTGACTTAATAAAGGAGAGTACTTTGATGGTATATTTAGCATTGGTCCTTGGAATTGATTATAGGATGTATTTCTATACCACTGTGAAATTTTATCTTCAAAATAATTCTCTTCTCATTTCTGCAGGTTCTCTGAAATTAAACCAGGGTGCTTGAAAGTCATGCTAAAGTAAAATAAATGTCCTTGACTTAGAAGTGTTAAAGGTTTGTAGGTTAAAATTAGTTTTATTTGCTGTGATTTAGTCAGTTTTACAGTAAACGAGTTTTATTAGAAATAATGTCGTTATAAAATAGAAAAACATGATGTTTTTCAAAATGCAAGTTTTATTTTTTACTAAATTGAATGCTAAATATGTTGTCTGTTAAAAATAGTAGGAGATTTTCATTGATTATAAAATGTCTAAAAATTATCTGCTACAGTTTTAAAGCTTGAAGTGCTCTGATTCTCTCTCAGAGAGAAAATGTTACCTTTGTAGACGGACCTTTACTAAAATTCTAGTGACTTCTATGAAAGGTATTTAAAATGCTATGAGACCTGGTTAGTAACCTTCAAAGATTTGTGAAGAAAGAAGAAGAAATAGTAGGAGTAATGTTTGAAAGGAGATAAAATAAAAACTCTTGAATCCTTCTTGATTTCAAAACTAAATACATAAAAATCACTTCATTTTACTACATCCTACAAAAGGAAAACACGGTACACACTTTTTCCTGTTTCGTAAATGACCTTTTATTCCTTTCTTTTGTGTGTTTGCATTTTCTGGGAGGAAAGTTGGGATCTGAGACTGTCCTGCAGTTTTGTACCAATCACTGACTTAAAAGATTCCAGAGGAGAAATGGCTAGATATCTACCAAGTGTGCTGTTTTATAGAACTGCTTCTAGAACTGTGTCTGTGGTATTCAGATCAGTACGGAAGAGCTATATTTTGTATTTAAAGCATGTAATTTCTAAACCGCAGTTAAGTGAGAATCCTATTAACTTAAATGTGGAAAACATTTTTTATATACTTATAAAAGGAATACCAACAACTTAAAAGTTTTTTTAACCGTTGTTTTTAGAGTCAACTTTCTGAAAGGAAACTTTCATTAACTTTTGTTTGTTGGTGAGCTTAAGAAGTCCTATTATGTTAATTATATTTTCATTTACACAGGTTTAAATTTGTAAAGTATACTTTTCCAACATGAGAGAGTAAAATAAATTTGACTTCAGATTGGAGACTTTCAACATATATTACTTCAGCATACAATTGTGCTGATTTTTGATATGCTTAAAAAATCATTTCAATCAGAATTGGTAGAATTGGGCTGAGAGAATCCTGAATTACTGAATGGTTTCCCAAAAGAACAAACATCTAATTGAAGAAAAAATTCACAATAATGTTTTCTTTATATCACAAAAGCATGGTTTTAAATGATTGCTGTATTGTTGAATTTTATTTCCACACACAACGAAGTGCTTTTTATTTAGAAATCGTTAGTCACTGGCATTGAAGTATTATTCATATCTTTTTTTTGAACTATTAAAAGAAAAAAGCCATCACTTTGGCATGTTTTTGTAATATCTAGAAGAGCTGTATATATTAAAAATAAAGTAATTCTTTTCAAAAAGTTATTACAAAATGATAATTGTTATAATGCAAGGAAGTTTTATGTATAAATTAATGTGATTTAAGAGACCTTAGTAACAACACTAAAACCTGGAGTGTGTGCAGCCACATACTCTGCTTTTGTATTTCCTCACTCGGTTTAAAAAGATCATCACTTTGTGGTCATTTCAGCTGGACTTACTTCAATATTATAATTAATGTGGAACAGTGAAAAAGGACAAGTGTGAGGTATTTCATGAGCAGAAATCAAATGTAAAAAGCTATGCTTTGTACTTTATCAACTTTAATTTTATATCTTATTTTGGTAAATCTAGTGGTATTTCCTCTTAATCATTATTTATAAATACATAGACAAATTTTGAACATCAAAAGTGTTTTATGAAGTTGTTTAATCCTAAACTGCCTCCCACCCCACTATCTGACATAATTTAAGTGACACATAATTATGGAAGAAAATTTTATAATCTCTTTTTTTGTTTTGCCTATTTCTAAATTACATATACCAAATGTAAAGATAGTGTAGGGATAATCAAATTCTTCTCCTTGCCCATTCTAAATATTCTGTGTGTCAAAATAAAGATAGTGTAGGGGTTATCTAAGTTTTCATGTACGAGTACATTTGTGCCAACATGTGACTTGTTCGATGGTTCTTCTGAAGAATCTTAATATTTTAAAAGTACAACATTTCTGTATTTTGAAAAGTTTTAGTAACAATTATATCCTCTCAGTGGTCTCTTATCAACATCTACAAGGGAATTAAGAGAACTAATGTGAACTAGTGTGGAATTGGACTGAGGGGATTCTTAGCAGTATTTTATATCCATTCACTTCCTTAATTCAAATGAGAAATGGAAATGGGTGGTCTTATATTTATTGGCTATTCATATATCTCTGTTATTTTTAGGTTGATATATTTTCAATTTGTCGGTGTTTTTATATACTTGTAATTCTGTAGCCTTTAAGTATAGTATGTATTGTAGAAATCCTAACATTTTTTAAAGTGTCTCATGTTACCCTAACATCTTTTGAGAAAAAAAGCTGAACAGTACTGTTGGATTGTTTCCAGCCCTTTATTTTGGTCTTTTTCTTTTTTCTTGTTTTTAGTATTTTAGAAAAAGGACACATGTAACAATAAGACTGAATTAATTCTGAGCTGGAAATTGGAAACCTTTGAAACTCAGGAAATTGCTTTGACAATGTTTTAACTGCTCTCAATTAAAAAAAAAAAGTGACAACATGTATATAAAAAAGACAAAACTAATGTGTGCTGTTTTTTCCAAGTGCTTTTTCTAAGTGCTTTTCCATTGTGCAATGAGGTGAAGTTTGATAATTTTTCTGTGTGGTGGTTAAATATTGCTTATTTTTGTTTACATGGTAAAGAAGAAAACATTTAAAGTTTGTGTGGCCAGAGGTGCCACTTAAAAGGTAAAAGTAAGTTTTGTAGAATGTATGTTAATGGTGCTTATTTTTAAAGTGTAATTCAAGTTTACAGTATTGCTTAATGCCTCTTTACAGAATTTAATAGAGAAATAAGGCTAGAAACGCATCTACATTTTGAAGAGCCTTTTATAACTTCACATTATATGATAACAAATTATATTATTTTCCTTAAAGTTGAGCAATTGACTTTAATGGTCCAAATGATGAACATGTTATTAACAAGTGATTGAATTAGCCATGAAACTTCTCATTACAATACAATATTGCAGCTATCCTGGAGAATATATTGTAAAAATTTCAGGCAGTATACCAGAAACAAAATGTTTTTATTTGTACTATAAAGAAAATGTAATTTTGCTGTTAACTGTACTTTTTTATTAAAAATGTTTTATAACTTTGCTTTTCAAATTTCTTATGAAACCATTTGCAAATTACATACTTAATTTAATAAAATACTTTAGCCACAGTCCAGTGTGAGGAAATCTTTCATTTGATGTGGTAGGATTAGTGGTTTAAGTAATAAAATATATTTTTATGCATGACTTTGTAATTGGAGGGTAAAGGGTCACAAACATGTCCTTTCTGTGCTGCAGCTTTTCTTATTGTTTAACTTACCTTGTTGTAGTAGTGAGGAGTCCACCTGTGAGCAAGCTAAATGGGTTATTAGGTTCATCTCTTCACATTCTTCTATCATACGACTGATGTCAAAGCACAGTGTCTCTAAGGGACTCAAGTAATACTTTAATAGTGAGAACGTGGAATTTTATTCAACTTCAAAACAAATTATTCAATAAATATTTATTAAGCACTTGTTACAGGGATACTATGTGGGTCACAGCTTTTATGCATAGTTATTCTCCTTGGCTATTTATGTTTCCCGACTTATGCAACTCTTTTCATTTTCCTTATATATTTAATTCTCAAACTCCTTGCATAGGATAAAGACACAAGGGCTTTGAAAAATTGACTAATTTGCTAATTAGTGGCAGAGCTAGCTGCCAATCTAGGTTCTCTGATTCCCAGCATAGAGCAAATACATCTGTCAAAAGATTAAGAATATTTAGAGATAATCTGTCATCTCCATTTTGGAGGTGTGGCTCCACAGAATATGTCTGCAGACCTCCTGTTTGTAAAGCTGTCTTTCTTTTTTAGCCAAAGGAAACCAGTACTAATAGTTTCCCCCTATCCTATTAATAGGATAAAAATTTATTTGTTAATATTTAATTACAGAGATAGAATCAGGGTTAATGGATGTGCTCTTTTTCATGAATTTTTTTTGGAATTTAGGATCATTTAATCTCAGCACTCTGATCATTCCATCTACATTATATTAGAAAAAGGACAGAGACAATGAGAGCTATGGGAAAGTACCAACACTTTTACAGATTTTTGGAAGCTGCCATGGGACACTTTCCCTACATCGTACTGGCTAGAAATTAGTCGCGTGATCACATCTAGCAGCAAGAGTGCTGAGAAATTGCCTTTATCCAGACTGCCATATATTCAGCTAATTGTCTTTGGGGATAGGAAATTGATACTAACGTAACGAATGGTAGTCACTGCCCTATTTTTCATCACTGAGTACAAATAATAGGAAAATTATTTCTTGATGTAGTCCAACATATGCTAGGAACGCTAGAAAGGAAGTCCTAGTTGTCTGCACGTGTTTTTGCTAAAATATTCAAGTGATATTAGGAAATTAGATGCTGAAGGCTTTCAGTTGATGATTTAACTGTTAATGGAATCACTTTTGGTCTGGTAACTCAGTTGCAGCAACTGCAATAGGTGTGGAAGTTATTTCTAGTGATAGTGTTTAGTAGCTAATGGCTGCATCCTGACTTTAGTACTTTCTCAAACATGGATATATAGTAATCATATCCATGTGTAAAGGCTCAGTATTTAATGCAAGTGGCTTAAAACTAAGCACACTGGGATAGGGAGATGTAAAAATGTCTGTCTTTTAAGAATTAGCAACTTAAAAAAAAAAACGAAACACTGGTGAACTGGTAATTATTTTTGAAAGTGGTAAATTGATCTTTGCTCCACTGCTTCGAACCTTTAAATGACTTCATATGAGAAAGGTTAAACACTTCAAACTGTACTTTGTAACTGTACAGTTAATGTCATAGATTTTGGAACACTTCCTGGTAATCTCGATTTACTTAAATTTAACTTGTTACATGTTTATTTAATTTTAATAGCTAATTAAACATTAGCATTTTGATATTAAAGGCATTTCAAAATGTAAACAAATACCCTCACACAAGTAATGACTATTTTAGGGTAGAGAAATAGCAAAGACTGGAACATTCAATTAACTAT